AACAGCAACAACAACAACAACAAAACAACAACAAAACAACAACAAAACAACAACAAAACGACATAAAACAACAACAAAACGACAACAAAACAATAACAAAACAACAACCAAAACAACAACCAGAACAACAACCAGAACAACAACCAGAACAACAACCAGAACAACAACCAGAACAACAACCAGAAGAACAACCAGAACAACAACCAGAACAACAACCCCAACAACAACAACAACAACACCACCACCAACAACAACAACACCAACACCAACACCAACACCAACACCAACACCAAGCCCAACGCCAACGCCAACGCCAACGCCAACACCATCACCATCACCAACTCCAACGCCAACGCCAACGCCAACACCAACAGCAACACCAACACCACCACCACCACCACCAACAACAACCACAACCACAACCACAACCACAACCACAACCACAACAGCAACAACAACAACAACACCAACGCAACACCAACGCCAACGCCAACACCAACACCAACAACACCAACAACACAACAACAACAACACACACACAACACCAACACAACAACAACAACAGCAACAACAACAACAACAGATCCATGAGAGACCTACCGAGCGACAGTGGACGCAAAACCAAAGCTCCCAGAAGACCCTTTTTCGAATGGAACTGAAAGACCGACCGAGCGACAGTGGGGCCAAAAGTGCACTCAAAAGAGTGATAGACGCATGCGGTACATTCAGAAGAACGGAAACGTAAAACGAAAGCGCAACTGATGCAGGAGAGATCGACCGAGCGACAGTGGGGCCAAAAGTGCACTCAAAAGAGTGATAGACGCATGCGGTACATTCAGAAGAACGGAAACGTAAAACGAAAGCGCAACTGATGCAGGAGAGATCGACCGAGCGACAGTGGGGCCGAAAGTGCACTCAAAAGAGTGATAGACGCATGCGGTACATGCAGAAGAACGGAAACGAAAAACAAAAGCTCAACTGATCCATGAGAGACTTACGGGGGAAACTCAGAAGACACATGCTCAAACACAACTGAATACCGAGCGACACTGGACCAGGGGGCAATCGAACCCCCGACCGACCCTGACCGACCGTACTGCATTTGCTTAGTGGGACACTGACTGGGGAGAAGAGAATTTTTCCCAAAAAAATAACACTTTTTTGGGAAAATCAAAAATGATTTTCCCAAAATAGTAGTAAAATTTCGACCTCCGCGCAGAGGGCTCAGGAAGCACAGACTTAGTTTGTATTCGCGCAGACTAAGTTTGTATTCGCCAATTTTCCCAAAAAGGTAGCAGATTTTTGGGAAAATTGGCCTCGAGAAACTGCGCGCACGCGCTCTGGGTCAGGCTAGATCGTAATATTAGTAGTAATATATATAATTAGTTTATATATTATTTATATTATTATTTATATTATTATATATATTATTATCTATATATTATTATCTATATATTATCATATATATATATATATTATTATTATTATTGTTTATATATTATTATTTATATATTATTATCTATATATTATTATTTATATTATTATCTATATTATTATCTATATTATTATCTATATTATTATCTATATTATTATCTATATTATTACATATACTATATATATTATTATATATGATACTACATTGTTTAAATCTATATTACAAATTTTATTATATATATATATTCTTATTTATATTATTATATATCATTTTTATTATTATCATTATTATTGAAATTTATTATTATATTTTATATTATGTATAAATATATATCATTATATATAGATATATTCATATTATTAAATTTATTTTTTTATAAAATATTTATTATTATTATTATTTTATTATTATATATATATATCACAATATATATATATATATTATTTGCTTTTATTATTATTGTTATTATTGTTATTTTTTATTATATATATAACATAACATATAATTATTATTATATATATATATTCCTTTTATTTTTATTATTGATTTCATTATTATGTTTAATTGTATTACTATTATTGTTCTAATTATGATAATTCCTTCTATTATTATTTTTGCTTTTATTATTATTATTATCATTTTGATTTATATATATATATATATATTCATATATTGATAGATTAGTAGATATAAATTATTGTTAGAATTGATTGCTTCTATTTATATTTGAAAATAGATTCTAGCCCTCACTCTCTGCTTCGTAGTCCGCAGCATCATCATGATCTTCAGAAGCTGCTCGCGATCTCCGCTTCAGCCTCACACTCAAAGCAGCTTAGCACAGCAACCATGCAAATGGAGGAGAAATCCTCTGGAAAGGCATCGAATTTTGCAGTTAACAAATATCCGTGAGTTTTTCCAGGCTCCATATCAGTATCCCAATTTCATATGGCCGTCGCCCCTGAGAGAACAAAATACTTCAGAGAAGGAATTGTCCAAGTTTAAGGGAAATGTAGCAAAAAAACGTGTGCTCCAAGGAGCAGGATATGGCATGATATGGCACAAAAGAAATCACGATACACATCATACTTTGTGGTTTTGGCTGGAATGGCGCTTGCACAGCATGAAGATCAAGGCCTTGCAGCTGAGCAACAGCTTTCTTGCAACTCGAGTCGCATTTTTGCGCCAAGTTGCATAGTTTAGACGAGAACCATACCTTAGCAGCTCTTCTTAGCAGCTCTTAGCATCAAGCTCTTCGGAAGTGGGGTGCCCTGCAGCTGGTATGTCGGGCAGCTGTATCTATCTCATTGCAGGTGGACTTGGTACACCACGCTAAAAAAAGTCATTCCAAAACTGATCAACTCGAAGATGGATAAACATGGCAACCCTCCTGGTCTAAGCTGTCTAGGTGTAGCTTTGCATCGGAGTGGCTCCACTTCATTGATGGACTTGGAAGCAATTTCCTCCTCTTTTGCTATCCGGATAATCCTGAGCTGCCATGGGGATGACAAAGAAGCGTCAGTGTAGGGACCGGGACGAGTTGCGGCGGGTCAAAGCTTCTCTAAGGTCATAAATGACATAAACCTTCACATAGACGGTTCACCCTGACCCGGGTGACCCAATTGTTGCACAGGTTGGGCCCCAGCTCTGGGAACAGCTGAGCACCAGTGGGCCCATCATTCATACCAGAAATGCCACACATCCTGCTGAGACAAATTTGTGTGTGGAATTTCTCAAATAGAGAGATCTCGTGGGACTCATGAGATGTAGATAAAACATGTTACAACATGGAAAACAAGGCTCCTTCTGACAATCTCACTTTTGTTGGAGTTGGAACACAATAATTTGCAACAAGCAAAAGCTTGCTGAGAGAAGGCTGAAATGCCAAGCATCCAAACCTTAACTATTTGCACATCATCGGCTTGTTTCACCCAATTCACCTTTGGCAACGTTGCAACTGAGGCTCTCCCGGATGCTGTCAGGAGCTTCGTCTGCCAGCCATTGACCCAATGCCACACGGGCAGTGTTATAACCAAGCTGAATGATCTCCTGGCCAAGAAACTTGCACATACTACTTACTACTTCCAGGGTGTTGTGAGCTGTGTGGATTCTTAGCTTCTTAGGAAATACTTAGGGTACAGCTTTGCACTTTGGCTGCTTTGGCTGCAGCTTCTTTGGTTCAGGAAATACTGTTCGATTCTGGACTCTACTGCAAGAAATCCAGCCAGACCCTCCTTTTTTTCCCCTCCCTTCACCTGGTACTTGGGCATGTCCAGAAGGCCATAGGGCGAAACATCCTCAAAGCTTTGACAAAGGCAAGGAGAGGCAAGAGGAAACTGCGGAAACACATGGAAACACTATCCGAAACTGTCTGCGAGGGGTGTCATCCCGCGCTGCAATGCCAGGGCTCTGGAGATATCACCAGATTTGCGCGTTCGCGGTGAGGATCCTGGTTCCATCTGACAGAAAATATCTAGGTTGTTCGCCGGTCCTTCGGGGTGCAGTTTTTCAGTGCTTTTCATGTCTTAGACCTGCTTGTACTCTCACACAAAGTACTTTGATTCGTCTATGCCAAGCCAAGTAAGTGAGTACTGACCGTTTTCATCAAGTAGTCAAAGTCCAGTCGGAGGATCTTGTCAAGATATGTCAAGATATGAATGCAAGTGTTTTCGCCGTTCGGGTGAGTCCACGTGGTTTAGATCCCCGGGGTCCCCTTGCACCTTGAGTGCCTCCACCAAGTACATGAGACGCTCCTCAAAACTGTTGGCTAACGATGTAAATTACTTCCAAAAATATACCTGGATGCTTCGAACATTTCCTCTGGCATTATCTTGCCATGGGTTTTCGAACTGGTCCAGTGTTCATAGATTCTTGAACTAGTTAAGTTTGAACAGGACATGGTTCAGTTGCTAAGATCAACTGGTCGAGGTTTCAATTAAAACATGCAGCGCCCTGAGAAGCTTTACTTCCATTGGCTGCAACACAGCGTCATACCACAGGCGACAACACATCACAAGCAAACCTCACGAACAAAAGTCCTGGATCTCCGCCTGGGTAGGAGGATCTCTGTCTTGGTTTGCAGTGTTTCGTCGACAGCACAGAAGCCGCCGCTTCAAAGTTACTAAACCCCCCCAGACAGCATCGCCATAGTCTGTGCCTCCGCAATGCTGGGACGATCAGATTTTTTCACGTGATTCGGTTGTTGCCTTAGCTGCCTTCGCTGCCTTGATTATGAATATTGTGATATATTTGAATAAGACGTGGATGTCCTACCGACGATGTGCGAGTTGATCTCAGCCCAAGCCAGCTTTCAATTCTAAGTGACATTGCACCGACACATTACCCTCAGCACCACTGAATTCACAACAAGTCGGAAAATCATGCTGGAAGTGAACCTGACAAAAAAACATGGACAACAGTAGGTCAGTAGGCAGATTAATCAAAGCAGAATATAGTATTGGAATGTATTTGTTAGAATCATGAAGCAAAGACATCCCACCCTGAGGAAGCCTGTAGCCTTCCCTTCTTTCAGACTTCAACCCCCCAAGGCCAAGTTGCAAACCGGAGAGTAGTCGGGACAGCATTCAACGCAAATCACAATGCCGGCTCCATGTTCTTTCAACACTTCGATGGGATACTGATTGGAATACCTCACATCAAGCAGAAACACTTGGGAAACGACGGACAAGGCTGTTCGACCAAACGAAATAGGCTGGAAGCTTCTGGTACTCTCGATTCACTTGATTCACTTGGCTATGAAAAACGTTCCTGAGCCGTTGCAGGATCCTGCAAACTGATGTATTGGTACTTGTCCAAAAGGACTTCAAACTTGCCATCACTATCCAGTAGATTTCATTAAAGTACCATAAAGTACCAATGATTTGGAAAACTGAATCAGTGACCCTCTGAGCTTTATCCTCATGGAAGCGCTGCAGTGTTCCTCCAAGGGGCCCCCCATCAACGAGCAAAGTTGTAGTGACTTTTCCGTCTTCTCTTCGCTCCTGGCACTTCACAAAGCCCAGGAAGACTGCAGTATAACTCACTGGAGGAATGGAGGCAAAACGAATGTTTGGACATCCAGATTAAAACTGCCTTTCAGTGTCCACTGTACCAAACTCACCAAAAGGTCAAAAACGGTCAAAACCAAATTCAACCAGTACATACCAGTACACTCAGTACACATCAAGGCATGTTATGAGCATGTTATGAGCATGTTATGAGCATGTTGGCTAAGTCGATCTAAGTCGGCCTGATGCGGCAGCGGCGGTGCGATGCCCACCAGGCTCATGGAAGCACGTACCACGCGCCACAAAGGTCCGTCTCTATGCACCTGACAACGCTGCCAGCGTTCGGATCGTTGAGAGCGCCGGCAGATGCTGGCAGCATTGATAGATGGCACACTCGATATCACTCGATGTGCTGTCGATATGACTCGATTGACTCAATCCCTCACAAAATTATACAATGGCCAAAAACTTGGTTGGAACTGATATGAACTTATGCACAATATCTGTTGGAAGTTGGATACTGGGTCTGTGCTGCAAAGGCATGAAATCAATGGCAATCTTTTCCAACGAATGCCAGCCTTCTCCTCGAACTGCACAATGTCGGTGCTGGTACAGGAAAAGGGGATCAGCAAGTCTTCACAACGACGACGTGCAAAGATGTCCTTCCTTGGCCAAACGGAAGGAAAGCCCAGTATCATGGACTTCTCCCAAGTACATCATGGCTCAGTGTGACATCGTCTTCAACAAAACAAGAGCACGTGAGGACAACAGTGCTATGTAATGCTGTATCATGCATGCAGTATCACCATCATTAGCTACTGATGGCAAAACATCTCTCGCAATGAATCCAGTGCCAAGGGTCAGCATGGCATTGAGAAATGCACCTGTGAAATTGGCTGTGCGAGGGAAAGTTAGATCCATCAGCAACTTCCGGGTTGAAAACCTCGGAACTCCAGCGGTGTCTTGCACAGCAGCTTCTGGAATGGGAGCCCTTCAAATGTCACTGACCGACAGAACTGTGTACACATGATTTGTGTGAGCCCGCCCGGAATGCTCTTTAAACACTCTGCTAAACTGTGCAAGAAATCAGTGTGTGGAAAATGGTAGAGCTTTTGTTGAACGGAGGTTGAAACTTTGAAACTGAGCGTCTGTGTCGTCATCACCCGTTTCACCACACGTCTCAGAGAGCTGGGCTCCGGTGCACTAATGGCATACCTCACACAGAGAACAGGCAGCTGCAGCTGGCAATTTTGTTCATGTTCTATCTTAGTCACGTCTTAGTCTATCAGTGCAGCGCTTGTTCTCAAAAAAGTAACGCAATGACTTCTTCCTGCAGCCATAGTTCTCGGTTCCAAGATTCGTTTTGTGTTTTTGTTCCGTTTTTCTATTGTCTGCTGATTTCTGTTGATTTTCTGCTGAGTGGCATTGCAGCTGCTAAGGCGCCAAAAGAGGTCCCGGAGACCACATCGATGGGGATCCCCAACTCCTGCATCGCCTGGATCACGCCGAAGTGCACATTGCCCCGTGCACCGCCGCCACCGAAGCAGACACCCACAGCCTTTCCCGCCAGCAGCCGCGCCACCCTGCCGACATCTGCCGACATCTGCCGACATCTGCCGACATCTGCCGACATCTGCCGACATCTGCCGACTTGTCGGTGCGGTGTCACTGGACATGCAACTTCTTCAGACTTAGCCCAAACATATTGTGACAAATTCATTGACAGAAACACAAAATGTCAGTATCTTTCAATTTGAACTCTCTGCTTTTCACATCAGAAAAACCAGACTGCAGCCAAGGGATGCTTGGCTGCTTCCGGCCTGGCCCAATCCCGAGCATCTTCTGGGCCGAGCCGTACATGATGCCAGCGCCTTCCGACAAAGTGCACTCCCTCAACAAAACAAAAAAAAAAGAAAAAACTCATCCAATCGCACAGAATCCTGACTTGATAGGAATAGGACAGCGGCGCACAGACGGCCATGTCCTTTTGTGAGATTCAATGTGTTTGGTCACTATGTCAAGTGCGCTGTCACACTGGTTTTCACATGGAGCCAAGTTTTGAAAGCGGCTGTGACAGGCAGAGGTTGCAAAATATGTAGTTTTACCACCCCACCCTGCCCCACCCATATAAACATGAACATGATTTTTAAAAAAAAAGTGAGCAAAAACAAAAACTGTATAAAACCACACGACCGTCTACGCGCCGCTGGCCAACTGCCAAGAAAACCAACGATTTTTGTTCCAAATCTCGCCAATCTCGCCTTGCCCAAGGTCTTTGATTCAAGTAATGTCGTGTGGAACGCTGGGACTTGCGGCCCTTGTGCACGAAGAGATGGTGCCGCACGAAGCCACTGACCCCAGGCTTCAGGGCATCGGCATGGGCCGCAGAGCCGACAAACCTTTGTCTTTTGACACGGACTTTGGGGCTTTGGACTTTTAGGAAAAGTCAGGTTGATGGATAAAAAAATCAAATTCTGAGATAACCTGATCAATTGGGAAGACGCATGCTGCTTGCTGTACTGTAGAACTATTGAGATGGGAGAGCAGTCTTCGCAGGAACACGACATGCGTGAACAAATCATCCGCACCATCCGACGACATCCAAAGCAAATGGAACGTATCTTGAGCGACAGCCCGTGCCAAGCAAGTGGCCAATCATCCATTGAGGCAAGCTGAGATGCCTTTCCTTGCGCAAAAAGCGCTCCAAATACTCGCAAAACCATGGGTTGCCAAGTCCAGAACTAGAACGATTGAAATCTCGGCAAATGGACTGCTTAATCTGCTTACTTCCAAATACAGTACCGTGCAGTATATGAAAATGGTCCGTTGCTTCAACCTCGCTTTGCAGTCATATATGACATCAACATCGACTGTAAATACCAAACTTTAGTTTCTCTGTATGAATTATGAGAAGATGCTGACGCAATGCTGGGTGAACCATTTCAGAAGAGGATCCAAGGACAACCGTGCAGATCCGTGCAGACTGGCTAAGGCTAAGGAGGAAACGAACTCTGAAATCAGCGCCAGAGGTGCTCGGGATGATTTGCGCAGTCCATAAATGCTCTATATCTATATATATCCGCCGACCCCGGCTGATGCAGGGGGAGCGCGCCAGGGAAGAAGAGGAGCAACTCTTGCAAGTCACTGCACCGAACAACGGTGGAAAAAATTGGAAAAAGGCTAGGTTTTTGTAGGATTTCAGAAGGCACGTTTGGCAGTTTTCCCTTTTCGAGGGGTTTCCAAAATGCATGGTTGCCCAGAACTGTTCAAAATATATGGTTTTGAATCTACAGTAAAAGTATGAACATTGTGAGACCAAAAAGGTGGGTAAAAGTTGGACAAATGTTCGGAGCGTTTCCAAAAAAATTGCAATTGGGTTGCCTTTTGCTGTTTCGGAGCTGTCACGGGGGCAAAGGCAGAAGCAGCAGCAGCAGCAGGAGAAACAGCAGGAGAAATAGACGCCGAAGTAGCGAGATTTTGTTCTTGTTTTAGGGTTGCAGATGTCACGATTAGCCCTTTTACTGTTTCGGTGGAAAACGTTGGAAACATGTTAGTTTTAATAGATTTCAAATGTCACGCTTGGCCCTTTTCCCCGTTTCGAGTGATTTCCTAAAGTAACCTAAAACTAGGCGTGGCAGAGGCTTGTTTTTGCAGCTGTTCTGCGGTACTTCTGGACATCTTTTCTACGGATTTCAGACAGGACGTTAGGGACTTTTTGGCTGAGGTTTTGTGGCATCCCCGTCCTTCACTGTGTGCACAGAGTGGTTTTGACACGCAGAAACTATTACACACAAAAATGTTTACACGGAGAAGTCTTTGCACAGAGGCACCTTTACACGAAGTAACAAGTTGAAATTGGCAGCAGTTCTTTAGGAAAAACCCTTCGCAGAAGCTTTCGGGAACTCACTTGCTCCCCAAAAAACCGTCTATTTCCAACAAATATGTTCCAAACAAACTAAGGAATATATTTCTGAAGCCGGTCCTCATTCAATAGTTTTCAAGCCCACACTGCGATGAAATGGAGGGTCGAGTAATCCGGCGGAGCCGACAATCAGCGTCAGCTCAAAAATAAGATATACATATATATATATACATATATAATATATATATAGCTATAGATATAGATATAGATATATACATATATATAGATACATATATATATATGTATATATATATATGTATATATATGTATATGCATATATGTATATGCATATATATGGAAAAAATTGTGAATGCTACAAACATGTTAAAACCCCCTGTCTTTGGTTCTTTTGGAAGATATTTGTTTGCGCATCTTTTGAAACAAAGTGAGAGACAACGTGGGAGACAGTGGGGTCACAGTGGGAGACAAAGTGGGAGACAAAAGAGGAAACACAGTGGGAGATTCAGTGGTAGACAAGCTGGGAGACATAGTAGTGCGAGACAAAGTGGGGGGGGACAACGTTGGAGACAAAATGGGCGACAAGTGGGAGACAAAGTGGGAGAAGGGCTAGGAGACATAGTGGGAGACAAAGTGGGAGACACAGTGGAAGACAAAGCAGGAGACAAAGGGAGAGACAAAGTGGCAGACAAGCTGGGACACAAGGTTCCAAGGTTCCCAGAACCCTTCGCATGCATGCGGAAGTTTGGGGAAGGTGCGATGATTAAAACCCGACAGCTTATTTCTGCTGTTGGGAAAAACAGTTTAGGCAATTCATGGCAATTCAGTTTCTTTATATTGCAGTACACATCAGCACACAATTTTACAATACAATACACCAGCTGTCAATCCAAGGGCCTCCTGCGCCTTTGTGCAAAAGCAACAGCTCTCTGGTCACGTAGAGCCTTGGACGCCCCGTAGAAAGATTGAATGGTGTCACAGTGTCACGCAGAGTCCACGGCTACAAAGGCCGATTGCCAAGATTCGGGGCGGCATCTTGTACATACTTCTCATTGGGGGTCCTTGGTGGCGCAGTGCGCTTCACCGGTGTTTCGTCCGGGCTTCGCATCCTTCAAACACGCCCACAATGCTGGCACCCACAACACACACAACACACTTGCTGAGAAACATCTTTGCGAATTCTGATGTGGAATGCATCGTACGTGCAAAAACACTTCAATTAAACTTGACCGGAGTAGTTGGATGACCAGAAGTAAGATCCCTTGAGAAGGTAATCATTCTAAGTCCTTGCAAGAAGTAACAATTCCATCTGAACCAAATCGTGATCTTCCTTTACAGATTGCGACAACAGTGCAGCGAAATTTGCAAATTAGCGAAATTGCAAATTAACGACTTGGAGGTTCTTGGGTTTAGCCTCATCCCATCACGGAAAAAGAAAAGCAGGTACGTCACGGTGATCAGCCGTGATATCCCATCCAAGACCGTAGCTTCGTTGCACACGGTAGGTCAAGGATGCCGTGTGCCCCTGCTGGAAGTTAAATCCATTTAGCAAAAGCAAAAAACAACGGTTAGAAGTTTTACATCTCTTCAGATGTTTCACACACACGCCCCGCTGCCGCGAGGCCATTTTGTGCAACGAATGCACGGATTGTCGCAAAGCTCTTATATGTTCCCTGAGGCAGGATATTTCAATGAAATCAAAATGCAGGGAAAGACATGCAATTGAATTGGCCGGACTGCTCAGTATAGGTCGCAGATTTGCGTCACACGTTGCCGCTAATCATCGATATCTGATAAGTCTTCCATGTCCTGGGCCTGCCGGGCTAGGATTTGTGACGTATGTGCCAAATGCCTGGCAAGGTGAAATCTGCCGCCGTGAAAACCTGGATTGGACTGGCACTCAAGTCGTCCTGTGGATTCTCGAGCTTCTCAAGGATCGCTGCATTGGATTCCCTGTCACTGTTGAGAATGTTGTGGAGGACTGTAGCCAGTTGGTGAATCTGACTTGGAATCGGTAATGTGCCAATGTTGGCAGTGATAGATTCATTGTCATCCATTTCGGATGCAGGTGGTACTTCTTGGTCACTAGATTGTCGATCAGCATTGTCAGACGGTTGCTGGAAAGTGTGCCAAGAGGCGTTCTCTCCATGTACTTCAGGGATGTTGAAGTGACAACGCCAGTAGTTGGCAAGCTGGGTTGCTTGCTCCCAGCTGTCTATGTTTCCATCATTGTCTGCCCTCACATGACCAACAATGCCATTGAAGAAAAATTTTGGCTGGTGGTTCCGTTGGAAACCCCAGCGATCGACTTCCGTCACCATGAGGCGGTTGAGATAGCCTGTTTGGTGAGGTGACACGACCTCCTTGAAAATGTGAGTATGGAGCACGCGATGCTGTTGTTGGATCTCCGTCTGGAGTGGATACGCTTCCCCTTGGGGGTACGACGTGGATCCATCCTGTAGAGGAACAGGAGGAGTCACTGACGTGTAACCAAAGTGGTGAGCATTGGACGTCATGCCACTGGCGTCCATTCCTAGGCCATGATGTGGGTCTTGGGGCCGATTGCCATGGATTGCCCATTGCGGTGGACGACGTTGACGCATCATCTGAAGAAGCAGCGCCGCTTCTGGATGGCCATTGGATGTTGAATTGGCGACGTTGCATGCTCGTGGTACACGAGGGGAGTCAATGCCGGCAAAAACGGAATCCCTTTTTGTCATAGTAAAAACTGAAGACAAGGGCTAAGGAAGGAGTAAGAGTGAGGGAGTGATGACACGATGAAAGAATGATGGTAACGAAGACACTGGATCAAAAGGTGTTTAACCAAATGAAATGAATGAACAATTGCCGCAAGCAGGACGGTCTTTTTTCCCGTGATTTATGGAAGCATGTTACGGTTTGGGAGTGCCTCGTCGCAACTCAGACGCATGATATATGGTTGACTTGGAGAAGTGAATGCACGAATTTCATTCGGCAACGTAATCCCAAATTCTTGGCCCTCAGTCCAGTGAGGACGATGTTCACGAAGGAGTTCAATCAAGGTCTGCTCATTGCGAAGGACGAAGGTGTCGCCAGTGCTGTCTTGCCAACGAAGGTCCATGGATGTGGGTTCCAAGTAGCGGTCCCAGGTATATGTGATGTGCTGACTGATATAGTACAGCAGGATGTTCACCGTGAGAGTCTCGGCGTGATATGGATGGATCAGGACATTGTAGGTGAACAGAGCATATTCCTCCATCCGGCCCAAGGAAGGTAAAGAACTGCATGTTGTTGATTCCATGGCATCCTCATGAGTAGCCGTCATGAGTGGGCGAACCCCTTCGAGGTTGACGATAATGAGCCCTCGTCGAGGTTGCCTCACTGGTGGAACTTCATGCCACGAGTCACGATATTGAGAATTACGTTGTCGAGAGTAACTGTGATGGCTCCACATGGGCGGATCATCCCGAGAGCGGGAACGATCGGGGGCCATTCGTACGTAATCAGAGGAGTAAGCCATAATGACTAAGACATGTGGGATAGAGATGATAGTCAAGAATTTAACTCTCAAAAAAACGGAAAGAGAAAGCCGTGAAGGAAAAAACCCACTAGGATGCATGTTTGGCAATAAAGAGGCAAGCACTCCTTTTTCTTTGTAGTGCCAGTGCCTCTTAGTCTTCTGCCTCACCAAGTGCCACGCCTGCCACGCAAAGTGCCGCGGCGTCACGGGCGACCAAAAGCAGCCCAAGCGCGCCACCCAGTGCCATAAGTGCCACGCCTGCCACGCAAAACGAAGGTGGATGTGAGATTGTGCCACGCCTGCCACGCAAAGTGCCGCGGTGTGTGAAGTTATGTATGTGACAGATGGTATGTAACAAAGTTGTGTGTTAAGTTTGTGTGTGTGAAGTTTATGTATGTGACAGATGGTATGTGACAAAGTTGTGTGTTAAGTTTGTGTGTGTGAAGTTATTGTATGTGTGACAATGTGTAAGATGGTATGTGACAAAGTTGTGTGTTTAGTTGTGTGTGAAGTTTATGTATGTGACAGATGGTATGTGACAAAGTTGTGTGTTAAGTTTGTGTGTGTGAAGTTTATGCATGTGACAGATGGTATGTGACAAAGTTGTGTGTTAAGTTTGTGTGTGTGAAGTTATTGTGTGACAATGTGTAAGATGCGGTGTATGGCAGATGGTATGTAACAAAGTTGTGTGTTAAGTTTGTGTGTGTGAAGTTTATGTATGTGACAGATGGTATGTGACAAAGTTGTGTGTTAAGTTTGTGTGTGTGAAGTTATTGTATGTGTGACAATGTGTAAGATGGTATGTGACAAAGTTGTGTGTTTAGTTGTGTGTGAAGTTTATGTATGTGACAGATGGTATGTGACAAAGTTGTGTGTTAAGTTTGTGTGTGTGAAGTTTATGCATGTGACAGATGGTATGTGACAAAGTTGTGTGTTAAGTTTGTGTGTGTGAAGTTTGTGGTGGTAGGCGGAGGCGGGCGGACGGAGGAGGAGGAGGAGGAGGAGGCTCGGGATACAGAATCAAAAACAAGAACCCCACACAAAGTTGTGGGGAAGAATCCCCACACCTGCAGGAATGTCCTGGTGCCTCCACATGGTTCCATGTCATGTTGCAAATTGTCGAGCTCCGTACTCTCTTGGGCAGTATTGAAAAAACGGACGTTGTCGCGGCTTCAGGCTATGCAGCACACGGTCAATCTGAAAAAAGGTGATGCCAGGCACAGCGGCACATGGTTCAACCCACACTTGACGACCGACAGAGTGAAACCTGAAAGGTGAACAGCAGTTTCACTTTACTTAGACGAATTACTAATTCAAAAGTGTCAATTCAGAGGTCGTTTCAAAGTGTCAACAAGCATTCCCCGAAGGGTTCATGCCACCTTGACGAATCCAGCATGAATCACACACTTGCTCAGAAACATCTTTGCGAATTCTGATGTGGAATGCATCGTACGTGCAAAAACACTTCAATTAAACCTGACCGGAGTAGTTGGATGACCAGAAGTGAGATCCCTTGAGAAGGTGATCATTCTAAGTCCTTGCAAGAAGTAACAATTCCATCTGAACCAAATCGTGATCTTCCTTTACAGATTGCGACAACAGTGCAGTGAAATTTGCAAATTAGCGAAATTGCAAATTAACAACTTGGAGGTTCTTGGGTTGAGCCTCTTCCCATCACGGAAAAAGAAAAGCAGGTACGTCACGGTGATCAGCCGTGATATCCCATCCAAGACCGTAGCTTCGTTGCACACGGTAGGTCAAGGATGCCGTGTGCCCCTGCTGGAAGTTAAATCCATTTAGCAAAAGCAAAAAACAACGGTTAGAAGTTTTACATCTCTTCAGATGTTTCACACACACACACACAAACAAATTTACACATTAAACCTCATGAAACATACATCTCTCTCCACGATTCTCCAGGATTCTGCGCGATTCTCCACGATTCACGTCAAGCTTCTGCGGCACATCACCACGGCCCTGTCCATTAAAATTTGCAGCGACTAAAATGTGATCTGCCTGGCGCACGCAGCGTTTGGTCCAGTCCTTGGCCACCGATCCTGGCACCCTCTCAGGGAGTCATTGTGATTTACCATCGGTGGAAACAGTTCTATACTATGCAGTCACCATATGCACATAATGCCACATAATATGCGCTTCGGTTCGCCTGAGAATTGAAGCGCTGTTGAGGGAGTCTTAAAACTCTTCCCATTGAGATGTTGGAAGGAAGCTTCATACCGCAGAGCACTGCATCCAATCATGCCCTTAAACTCCTGCCCACTCATGTAACACCTCATGCCATCTGCATGGAAAGTATCCGTGATTGAGGCATCATTATTTGGCTCCGCTTCATAAACCAGCCACCGACTCCGTTCCTGGAACCAATGCGATGCTGGGTCTCCGTGATGGGCACGGATTGTAGCATCTCGATAAAGGCACAATTTCAGCAGATTTGGCACTGGCGGCACAACGCAGCTCATGCTCTCATTTTATCTCTGGCTCCACAAAAAGGTTGGGTCTGTATAGATTAGTAAAATTAGGTTTGAAGTTTGAATTGTTAGAAATTTTCAATTAAGGTATTGGAGGCTGCTTCTGCCTGGCTCTGTGCATGCGGAAGTGCGAGCCGTAGCCCAAACAAATGCCGCCTTCCAGACAGGGCAGCTCAAATGACCTTTCAAATGTCGCTGACCCATTGTCAACGTCATGTGGCCTTCAACATCCGACCAATCTGGACAAATTTGCGTGAACTATCCTATCATTTGGTGTTATTTGGTCGAATATTTGCTGATCTTTTGGACAGGGTTGCTCACAACACCCCGGATACAAAGGGATGGAAAATGGGTAGATAAAGAGGTGAGACTAGCCAATTTACTCCCCCTGTGACTATCATTTACCCACAATAGATTGGAGCAACCCTGATTAGATTTGGTGAAACCTGTTCGCACGCATCCTAGGATGCATAGCTAGTCCATCCAAAAAGTTATATCTATAAACCCAGGACTGATTCCGGGGCAGGTGGTGAATTCCACGCTCAAAAAGTTCAAGGCAACCCTTGAGGATGCCTGTAGCCTTGTGACAGAAAGCCTCCAGCTACGGGGCATGGAGGTACCATTAAATCAAGTTCAAGGACTAGATGAAAAAGTTGTGAGGGTTTTCCAAGTAGGAGAGGATCAGAGTCCGTGCGAAGATATGACGGGCAGCTTCCGTCTGCAGTAGCTCATGCACTTCTTCCTTGGGACAGGATCGGACATGGTATAGTTTTGCTTTAGATCTGCAACCTGCTTTCTTTCTGGAGCACAAACACAAACACAAACACAGTACCTGAACCCCTCCTGTAACCCGCTCAAGCTGGAGCCTCATGCAAGCCTTCACAACTCTACTTCTGGACGGAACATACCAATCATGGAATCTTCCCTTCTCCCACCTTTATCTCCAAAAAAACATTTCTGCTTGCTCCGCAGCCTAACTCCAGGAAATTCAAAGTTTGGTATTGAGAAAATATTTTCTGCTTTTGGCTTATCTCTGGAACAACAGGTCCTGCTAGCCAAACCTGCAAACCAGCCCAGCCAACGACGGAACGCAGTAAAATCATGCAAAATACGACAGGTACCACATCAACTGGGAAACCGACATGATGAAACTTACACAACAACTTATTCTGTTCTTGTTTTACCTAGCAATGGCTGATACAGTAGCCTTCATCTCAAGCTCCAGGAATCAAGTTTGAGGAGCGGGTTCTGTCTGTCAACAACCCCAACCCATGAAGAGACGGCCAAGACACCACTGACATACAAGTAAAACTGCACACAACAGAGGAACAACACATCACGAAGACTTTGAACTCCACACTCCGCAGTCCACACTCTACACTCACTACACTTCACAGTCTACAATGGTTGGATAACAGGGAGACGAACGTACAAGATTGTTGCAATAAGTTGTTTCAAAAAAAAAGTGTTTTGCACGATGTGCATTCGGCTTGGTGGCTTGGCTCAGGTTTGTTGATGCGTATGCCTTTGGTAAATGGGTATTCTTTACAAACTTTACGCAACAACATCCTTCTGCTGCAATGCAAATGCGGACGGTCCAAAACTCCATGCATCTGTTTGACACAGGCTGGAATGTGCGTACTGAATTGAATCCTACTGGTCCTACTCTTATCTTCTTCTTGCTCTCAATCTTGGCCATGCTCTGTGCTCTCGACTTGCACTCCATCCAACCCTAAGAACCGGTCCGACACATGTTTCAGTCCTTCAATCGTTTTTCCTTACAAACTTTATATATATATATATATTTGGGTCAAACTTTCAAACCTTTTCTGCGCGTTTAGGCGTAGGTTCCTGAACATCGTTTCTTCTGTATCTTTGCAGGTGCCTACTTCAGAAAAATATTCTGTGCCTTCAATCTACAGTATTTTTCACTACCTTTTTGCGTGCGTCTAACTGTGGGCTCTAAAGGCTTTGTTTTGTGGATCAGGCCTTTCAAACCTTGATTTTTGTGAGTGCTTTTGTGGGTCCCTAAGCCTCCGAAGGTGTTTGCTCTGTGGGGGCCAAAACCACTTGCTGTAATGCCATCTGTAACGACATCTCTCTCAATTCTAGCGCTATTTGCGTACTACTCGCTCCGGCCAAAGTCAATCAAGATAAATTCTGGCCTCTGCTTTAACACCCCCTCTACCTCCGCAAATCAGATTTCAATTTCCACACAGAGTTCTACCCCGCCCAACCCACATTATAGTTTCGCTGTTCCAGCCTTTCCATGATCTATATCTATATCCTATCAGCAAAAGTCATTTAACAACTTCACTGTGTAAACTGCTCTTTAGGAATTAGACCCTGAGACACTATGTCACTATGTTATTTGAACTTTGTGGAAAAGTTGGAAAAATGGTTCCTCTAAGTCGAACTCTGTGAACGTATATTTTTGGCAGGTCCCTATGGGACTCCCACTTCCAGAACCGTAGCTTCAATAATTCCAGAACTGCTCACCGAAACACAAGCAGTCTAAAAGTCTTGATCTTAAACAAAGGTTGGTTTTCCAAGTCAACTGGCGGGTTGAAGATCTCCAAAAGTCTTCGCTTGATCTTGTCGCGAGTTCGCTTGCGCACCCGGCGGTTCAACATGGTCATGGGATGATCGAAATGGCAGTAACCACAGTAGTCGCCTTTTGAGCAACCTGCAGTCGTAGCATTGAAAACACATGGTTGACACGTGCCACGTAAATGGGCCCCTAGTGAACGTACAGGATCTTCAGAGCTACTCGACGCAGCACGGTTCCCAGATGCAGAGTCATCAAACTCGTCGTCGGCAAAGAACACGGCATTGTTTAGGTTCCTGGGCAAACATGTTTGGCAGATCTCAGAATCTGTCTGTCCGCAGATGCCTTTGCATACTTGTATCATCCGTTTTATGTGGGCAACACGTGTGTATTTTGCACACATATACTCAGATACAGTACCTGCATATATATATATACATACATACATACATACATACATACATACATACATACATACATACATACATACATACATACATACATACAGAACAGACAACAGACAGAGACAGACCAGACAGACAGGACAGACAGACCGAGACATACAGACAGACAGACAGACAGACAGACCAGACAGACAGACAGACAGACCAGACAGACAGAAGAGATGACAGACAGACAGAAAGACAGGACAGAAGACAGACAGGACAGACATATACATACATACATACAGACATAATAAAGACAGACAGACAGACAGACAGATAAGAGGACATACATACATACATACAACATACAGACAGACATACAGACAGACATACATACACACATAGGACATACATACATACATACATACATACATACATACATACATACATACATACATACATACATACATACATACATACATACATACATACATACATACATACACACATACACACATACATACATACGTATACATATTATATATTTAGATTATACAAAAAACAGAAAACAATAAACAAACGTAACAAACGTCACCATTCCGAATGGGCAAATTTCTCGCAGTATTTGTTTGGTGGGTTTTGTTTTTTCGGTCTGCATGCTGCCGCCTTTCATTGTTCCATGTGTTTCATCGAATTCTCGATGGTTTTCAGACCTCAGATCCTTTGAACTGGTTTTGGGTTTATGTAAGGTTCGCTTAAGTTGGTTTACGATGGTTTTGGTTTACGGTTTCTGTAGTTCGATGGAAATTGTTTTCAAAGCTGGTTCAAAAATAATATTTACTGTTTAAAATTATTTAGGGTTGGTTTAGGATTTATTTAAGGTTTGTTTAGGGTGATTTTAGCGTTGGTTCAAGGCTCAAGGTGGTTTTAAATTTGGTTTCAGGTTTACCTAGTGACTCGTGGTTGCTTTTAATTCCCCTGATAGCGAAGCTATTGGGGTTCTTACTTCAAGTATAGTCTAAGTATAGGCTGAGTTGCATGTCTGCGTTTTGGAGCGGGCATGTGTGTGCCGCTGCAGGGTGTGGCTGCGGGGTGCTGCTTGAAGGTGCGCTGCTTGAGGGTTGTGCTGTCAGGGCGTGTGCACTTTTGAGCCGGCAGCTTGTGACCGCTGCAGGGGTGTCGCTGTAGGGTGCCGTGTGTGTGCGCTTTGAAGCGGGCATCCTGGTGCCGCTGCAGGCTGTTTGAGGGTGCTGCTCTGTAAAAGTATGTGTGATTGAAAGCATTTCTGTGAAAGAGCATGCATGTATGTAAAAAGAAAATATGCACAAAGTAAACATTGCCGTGTAAAGTATTTGCATGTAAACGCGCCTGCCACTGTGTGTCAAAATGTCTCTATGTAAAAGTGCTTGCACGCAATGTGTGCAGAGGAGTTTCTGCGTAAAAGAATGCGTCCGTAAAAGCACTGTGTAGACGTATTAGCGTGTCAAAGCACCTGTGTAAAAGCATCTCTGTGCAAAGGCAACTGTGTGTAAACCCCCCTGCATCTAAAAGTTTCTCTTAGCAAAATCATCTCTGTGTAAGAAGTATTTGTATCTTAAAGCACCCGTGTGTAAAAGCACCTCTGTGTTGAAAGTATCTCTGTACAAGAGCACCTGCAAGTAGAAACATCCCTCTGTAAAATCATCTCTCTGCGTAAAACCATCTCTGTGCGAAGGCCCTCCCTGTGTAGAAGCACTTGTATGTAAAAGCATCTCTCTGTAAAAGCAAAAAAGGATGGAAACCTGATTCCAAGAATGGCCGGAAACCCTCCCCCAAATCGTGTTTCAATTTCCAGCCTCACCCATGTAAAAGTACCTCCGCCTAGATGCGTCCTAGTCTAAAAGCACCAGTGCAGCGTGTAAAAGCATCTCTCCGTAAAAGTATATATCCGTGCAAAAAATCCTCTTTGTAAAGTATCTGTGTGTTTAAAAACATTTTTGTACAAATGTATCTTTCTGTGTAAAAATATCTTGTGTGTAAAGGCTACTTTGTGCCAAAAGAAACCCTGTGTAAAAGCACGTGCGTGTAAAAGAATTCCTCAACAGCATCGCAGTGTGAAGGCATCTGTGTTTAGAAGTGCCCGCACGTCTGTGTGTAACTGTTTTTTTGTGTAAAAACACCCCTGTGCAAAACACCTGTGCGTGAAGGTGTTTGTGTGTAAAACCATCTTTGGGTAAACGCATGTGTATGTGGAAACGACTGTGTAAAAACTGTTTTTGTGGAAGTACCTCTGTGTGAAAGCATCTGTATACAATATTTTGGTTTTTGGTCTGCTGTTAGAATCTAAGCCGCGTAACATTTGCAGCATTTTGCAGCTGGCACCTGTACACTGCCTGGTATGATGCAACATCAGTTCATTACACGGAGCCTTGCCATCCGACAATATTTTGCAGCAGTGCAAAGCTAACATCTGCAATTGCAGGGTATTTGCAAGATTTGGAATCATGTCTGAAAACCGCGTTGTGATTTCACGGCGCTCTGAAACAAAAAAACTGTACACTGTAGAATGCTCGCGGCATTTAGAAAACCAAAAAAACGCAGAATATTGGGGCAAAATTCAATGCATCGCATAGTCTTTGCAATATTTTGAAACTGTCACTGGTAAACCGCGTGGCACGCGCAGCATTTTGAAATTTACGCCTGTAAATTGGCTGCTGTTTCTGCGGTTTTCTGAAACTCAAATGCAACTGGGCGGTATTCGCAGCATCTTGAAATTATCATCTGCACAGTGCACACAGTGGCATGGTGTTTGTAGCGTGTTGCAGCTAAAATCTGTAAACTGCACGGTCTTTGCCACCTTTTGAAACCCAACACTTGTAAATTTGTTGAGACCTGCAAATCTCTGAAAGTAATATGAAAAAATTGGAAAGCGCACGCAGCATTTTGGAGCTAGACCTTCCTTCCTCCCATCCCTCCCTCCCTCCTTCTTTCCCTTCCCCCTGTAGAGATTACTTCTTTCTTTCCTGCTGGTTTTCTATTCTAATATATACCGTACCTTTTTCCTTTGATAAATTTGCGCGAACGCACGGAAATGCAGCAGGTATCTCAACTCCTCGGGTGAGGTGAGCAGTGAGCAGCCCAATGCCCTCGTTGCTGCATGTCATGATTAAGTACGAAACTTCCTAGCATACGTCAACATCCATCCCTGCCCCCGCTTCAATCCAAACCTGCAAACGCAAGGTCGTCATCGTCATCCTCATCGATATCATCATTATGATCATCATCATCATCATCATCATCACCATCACCATCACCATGTTCACCATCATAACCATCATCACCATCATCACCATCAAAATCACAATCATAATCATCATCATCATCATCATCACTTCATCATCATCACCACCATCATCGTCATCATCGTCATCTTTATCAACATCATCACCACCATCATCACCATCACCGAACATCACCATCACCACCATTATCATCGTCGTCGTCGTCGTCGTCGTCGTCGTCGTCATCGCCGTCGCCGTCGCCGTTGCCGTCGCCGTCGCCGTCGCCGTTATCACCATCATCATCACCACCATCACCACCACCACCACCACCACCATCATCATCATCATCATCAAGACAACCAACTCCATCATCATCATCATCATCATCAACATCATCATCATCAGCATCAGCATCATCATCATCATCATCAGCATCATCATCATCATCAGCATCATTATCACAGTCATCTTCAGCAGTCATGATGGTCACCATGACAACAGCATGCAACCGCTGAAGACTACCTGGTGCATGGTGCGACCAATCAAGAAAACACACTCGAGATTAGATTTTCGTGACGCGCAGGGAAACACCACAGACACACAACCAAGGACCACCAACGCAACCGCCCCGACACCACCAACACGACGCCTCCAAGATACGACCAAGACACCCTGAACACCTTGTATCAGCATGGAAGCGGCTGAGACACCACCGAGGCATCATCTGGACTCCATGAAGGCACCAATGAAACACCATCAAAAGAGCACAACGCAATGCAGACACCTTTCAGACGCCACCAAGAGACTACCAAGACATCACAAAGACACCAGCGAGACACCACCAAAACACCACAGAGACACCATCGAGACACCACCGAGACATCAGCAAGACACCACCAAGAGACACCACCGATACATCAGCAAGACACCACCGAGACATCAGCAAGACGCCACCAAGAGACACCACCGATACACCAGCAAGACACCACCGAGAGACACCACCGAGACATCATCGAGACACCAGTAAGACACCAGCGAGCCACCACCGAAACCAGAGAGACACCACCGAGACATTATGGAGACACTACCTATAGACACCACCGAGACACCACTGAGACACCACCGAGACACCAACTAGAGACACCAACCAGGGACAACCGAAACACCACCAAGACACCACCGAGACACCAACTAGAGACACCAACGGGAGGCAACCGGGACACCACTGAGAGACAACCGAGACACCACGAAGACACCTCCGAGACACTACCGAGAAACACCACCGAGAAACACCACCGAGAAACACCACCGAGAAACACCACCGAGACACCGCCCAGGCCAACAGCCAAAGGGCGCCCATCCGCCTTTAGAGTTAACAACCCCAAGCTATCGCTATAGGGGAAAAATATCCCAAAAAAAAAGTGTATTCTTTTGCTATCTGGGGTCTATGCTGGCGTAATTTGGTTTAGGGTTTATGTTGGTTTGTTTAAGCTGGGTTTTGTTTACAATTGATTTTGCGTTTATTGAAAATTGGGTCCATTTGTTCCCCAGGTAGCGTAGCTGTTGGGGTTTCTTACTTCAAGTATACAAGGAGTTGCATGATTTGCATGTCTGCGTTTTGGAGCGGGCATGTTGGCGCCGCTGCAGGGTGCTACTTGATGGTTCTGCTGTCAGAGCGGTGTGTGTGTGTGTGGACCATCTGAAAAGATGTAAAACTTCTAAACATCCTTTATAAAGCAGGGGGATGGAGAGGACATATGAGGCTCCATCCAACGAAGCTCCTCATATGATCCTAGGATATCACCAGGGACGCCTGGTGACGTACCTGCAACACCAATTTATTTTCCCGTCAATGGCAACCGGCTAAGCCAAGAACCGGCATGTCGCTGTTCAGTGTTTCAGTTGCATCAGGACCTTCCTCAGAACTTCAATGTCAACAGGTTCATTATATTGTACGGTTTTCGCAATCTGAATTACTGCCGACTTCGTCAGATGGAACAGTTGTTTTTGCAAGGACAAAGAAAGCAATCTTCTTTACTGGTTTTCCTGCCATGTCATCCAACTCTCACCTGTCAGACTTTAAGGGATTGTTTGTGCACGACCGATGCACTCCACAACAGTAATTCGATAAGAATTTTCTGAGCAAGTGTGTCATTCCTGCTGTATACGTCAAGTTGGCAGGAACCCTTCGGGGAAAGCCTTTCCAGGCTAACAATTGACAGTAAATCGATGTCTGAATTTACACTTTTGAATTAGTAATTCGTCTAAGTAAAGTGAACAGCTGGCCATTTTTCATTGTTTCACATGTCGGTCGAGTGAGTGTTGAACAGCTTCCCGCTGTCTCGGGGACTCCCTTTTTTACCGTTCTTCATAGCTGGCAGCCACGTCAACATCCGTTTTTCAATGTTGCTCGAGAGAACGCTCAGCAGTATGCATCATGCTCATGATCAGGTGAGGCTACAGGACATGCTTCAGGTGTGGTTCTCCTTTCTTTTGATGGTCGTTGGTGAGGTTGAAATTGCGCACGTAATTCAGGGGTTGAACACGTAAGCCGTCCAGAGGGTTGTGACTTGAAAGCCGAGGGCCTTTGAGCCTTATCACGAATACTGCATGCGTTGTGGATGCATCATGTCATTAACTAGTTCCCCATGGGTCCCTATTTCATGTGTTCTTGCGTTCTCCTCTCTCCAGGTAGGTTTGGCCCGTTGCGTGCTGAGGTTGTTGTAGGTTTTCGCCGTGTCAGGTTGGTTCAGGCGCTTCTGTCCTCCCCCTCCTCCGCTGGTCTTGTTCCGTTTTCCGTCGGCCTCCGCTTTTCTTTTCCCTTGCCTTTCCAGGGTTGCCCGTTCTGGGCTAGGTTTCTTGTGTTGGTGTTTGCTCTTTCCCTCTTCTTTTGCGTTCCCCTCTTTGCGTCCTGGTTAAGTAACTTTCATCTCATTGTCATCTTCACCTCATTTTCATTTCCCTTTTTCTTCATTTTCATCTCATTGTCGGGACCTCAGTTGCCAAAACAGCCTCGCGGCAGCGAGGCGTGTGTGTGGACCATCTGAAAAGATGTAAAACTTCTAAACATCCTTTATAAAGCAGGGGGATGGAGAGGACAAATGAGGCTCCATCCAACGAAGCTCCTCATATGATCCTAGGATATCACCAGGGACGCCTGGTGACGTACCTGCAACACCAATTTATTTTCCCGTCAATGGCAACCGGCTAAGCCAAGAACCGGCATGTCGTTGTTCAGTGTTTCAGTTGCATCAGGACCTTCCTCAGAACTTCAATGTCAACAGGTTCATTATATTGTACGGTTTTCGCAATCTGAATTACTGCCGACTTCGTCAGATGGAACAGTTGTTTTTGCAAGGACAAAGAAAGCAATCTTCTTTACTGGTTTTCCTGCCATGTCATCCAATTCTCACCTGTCAGACTTTAAGGGATTGTTTGTGCACGACCGATGCACTCCACAACAGTAATTCGATAAGAATTTTCTGAGCAAGTGTGTGTGTGTGTGCGCTTTGCACTTCGTGTGTGCGCACTTTGGAGCGGGCATGCCGATGCCACTTGCCGCTGCAGGGTGCTGCTATTAGAGTCGTGTGCGCGCTTTGGGGGGGATATGCTGGTGCCGCTGCAGGGTGTTGCCCCAAGGTGCTTGAAGGTGCTGCTGTCAAAGCAATGTTTGCGGTTTGGAGCGGGCATGATGGTCGCCCCTGCAGGGTGCCCCTGCAGGATGCTGCTGCAGGGTGCTGCTGTTAAAGCGGTGTGTGCGCTTTGGAGCGGGCATGCTGGTGAGGCTGCAGGGTGCTGCAGGGTGCCGGTGCAGGGCGCTGTCTTCAGAGTGCTGTGTGCGCTTTGGACCTGGTGTCTGGTGCCGCTGTAGGGTGCCGCTGTAATGTGTTGCTTCAGGGTGCTGCTGTTAGACTGGCGCGTGCGCTGTGGAGCTGGCTTGCCGGTGCCGCTGAACTTGGGTGCTGCTACAGTGTACTGCTGTCAGAGTGCGGTGTGCGCTATGAAGGTTGGTGTTGCATGGCGTCGCTGCAAGGGGGTGGGAGGAGGAAGGAGGAGGAAGGAGGAGGAAGGAGGAGGAAGGAGGAGGAAGGAGGAGGAAGGAGGACAGTTACAGAAGCTGCAACAAAAGAATAAGTATGTAGGGTAACCTAATCGTCACTTCTCTGTGGCAGGTAGAAGCAGAAAACATGATTATGCCTGCAGACCGTAAAACGCACGTTTTTGGGGTGGGGTGGGGTGGGGTGGGGTGGGGGGGGCATGTCAACGTTCCTTGTACTTCGTACATTATAGTGTGCTACGCGGCAAAGATCTCTGGGATCGTTGCTACGTTACTTGTTACTACGCTGCTGAGATCTCTGGGATCGTTGCTAGGCTACGTGTTACTACGCTGCAAAAATCTCTGGGATCGTTGCTACGTTACTTGTTACTACGCTGCTGAGATCTCTGGGATCGTTGCTACGTTACTTGTTACTACGCTGCAAAGATCTCTGGGATCGTTGCTAAGTTACTTGTTACTACGCTGCAAAGATCTCTGGGATCGTTGCTACGTTACTTGTTACTACGTTCCTGAGATCTCTGGGATCGTTGCTAGGTTACTTGTTACTACGCTGCAAAGATCTCTGGGATCGTTGCTAAGTTACTTGTTACTACGCTGCAAAGATCTCTGGGATCGTTGCTACGTTACTTGTTACTACACTGCTGAAATCTCTGGGATCGTTGCTAGGTTACTTGTTACTACGCTGCAAAGATCTCTGGGATCGTTGCTACATTACTTGTTACTACGCTGCAAAGATCTCTGGGATCGTTGCTAGGTTACTTGTTACTACGCTGCTGAAATCTCTGGGATCGTTGCTAGGTTACTTGTTACTACGCTGCAAAGATCTCTGGGATCGTTGCTACGTTACTTGTTACTACGCTGCTGATGACGGTGAAATGACAAAAAAACGCTCCTCAATTTTTCAAAGTTTCCACAACATCAAATCAGCTCGGCACTGTGGTAAAATCACCAATTGTGGACACAATGTGCACACCGATGAGCATGGTTTCCGGTCCGGCGGGATGATTATGAACACTTCGATAATCTTACTTGATTTCAGGACAGAAATTTAGCAGTAGCAAAATCAACACGTATTAGTAGAAACAGGTCTATTTACAATGTATTTTACGTCCTCGTGCGCATCTACAATGGGAGATACATTCCGAGGGCGCTGTTATACACATGCCTGTAAATAAACCAAAATGTAAATTGTAAATATATGCGTTCTCACGGAACGGACAATATATATATGATATATATACGTATCCGTGTATGTATGTATATGTGTATCAAGTGTCTTGCATGGGTATCCTTGAATCCACGTAGCACCTGCGCAAAGCTGTCAAGCGCGTCAATCAGAAAAAAACTTCATTAGACTGATGCAAATGCTGAACATCAAAGGATGCACAGACCCGCTAAGACTGGTCTCAATGCATCCGGAATTCTCAACCCATCTTGTCGCCGATGACTTCGACGATGCCACCGAACTTCCATCTTTGAATCCATCCTCCTTGAATACATCCTCCTTGAATCCATCCTCTCTGAAAGACAATGGGTCTGTACGCTGATGTTGTGCTTGTATTGTCCCATTCCCAGCATGAACCGAACCGGGAAAAAACCATCCTGAGAAACAGTCTTGTGATGGGACCATGGCGCCAAATGAGCTCAGATGAAGGCAAAAAAGTCCTGCTTGAGCTTGCAGAACTCTAGACATTGAAAGTGCATCCCTAATGCAATCTTGACATGTTCGAAAACCTTATTTGCAATGTGAAAGCGTGGGAATGCGCAGCAACGTCTGAACTCTTCGCGTGTTTGATGTGTAACCTGGACGCAGTGCTGTAGACTAGAATCGAAGCTGGCAGCTTGAGCCAACACAGAGTAGCCACTCTGTCCTTCACCACTGAGGCACAAGAAAAATCACAAAGGACCTGTGGGAGGAAGAGGTCTTCGCTGCGCTGTCTTCGATCTTCAGTTGAGCTACTGATAGAAACTACCCAGTTATAAAACAAGGACTCGTGACGACTACTGGCACCAGGAAACTGCGGAGCACGCCTCCATATCTGCGAGGAGCCGTCCCAAACGCCCTTCATCCAAGCTTCTTGCAGAGCCCTGTGCTGAAAAGTGGTTGCAAAAAGTGGTTGCCATATTTTGCCATATAACCAAAAAACACGGCCGGAATCTGTGCTTGAAGTTCTGAAGTGTAAAACATTGTAAAACCCTCAGTCTATGATCATCCTGTGCACCTTTTAGAACATAAACTGAACAGAATTGTCGGGAACACCTCAAGGCATCTCTACATTCTGGGACCCTCAGCCTGAGATGCCTTGAGGCCAGGCGAAAAGAAGAGGTCTGTGGAGGGCGAGATGTGCATGGTTTTGCCCAACTTGCTGAGAGCCTCAGGATTGGAATCCACCAAAGCAAAACCGTAAACTTAGCATCGATAGGTTTCCTCGGCAAAGCGCTGCTTTCTGACATCCTGCATCTGTAAGTCTTCAAAGGAACCACCCCTGCCAGCGGACCTGTTGTGGAAGCACATGAGCGAGAAAATAAGTTGGTTGAAGTTACTCCAAGAGGCGAGGCGGCCCCCTACCTCGTTTTCCATTCCCATATGTACGTGTTTTGATCACTGACCTCGTTTTCCAACCCTGCACTTGGTTCTTATCCTTTCCACACGTTCAGTTTTCACTAACCCACTTTTTTTTCAGGCAGCCCGATCAATTCTGGGGTTAAAGGGAAAGACTGAAAGCAGTTCCTCTAAAAGCGGTTCCTCACATGGTTGAGCTAAGCTGCCGAAGTTAGGTTTGAGCACACCTCATGAATGTCGACATCTTTGGTTGCTGGTACCACTGTGATGGTGGTTTTGTACTTGGCGCTCGACACGTCCTAGCGCGCATGCTGGCACAACTCAGTCACCAAATCACGAAACCAACAGAAATACAGATATACTCAGTGTGCTGGCAACATGTCTCAAGTGACACCACGATCTGTGGAGGTCACAAGTGTACAATGAAAGTGCAAAAGTGTAAACATATTGCATGAAAACAGAATGACATCTAAACGCTTGAAAGTTGCACAGCAAGTGGCCAAAGCATGGCAGCTCAGGCTTTGACCAAGCATGCCACGACAAGATACGACAAGTGTGTCTTATCACCCTCTCCTGCAACTGCTGTGGCCGGCTTCCAATGTAGGAGCTAAAATGCAGAATCGCCTCCCAGCAGATTCAGATTGACATCTCCCTGCAAAGCACCGAATAATACCAGCCATCACTAAAAATCTGACAACGTTAGGGGAATCCATCTGAAGCTTCAACCAAACACTTTGAAACCCAAACTGAAGCCTGCGGAAAGTCCATGGCAATTAACTGCAGCAACGTTGGTGAAACCCGGCAAAGTTCAGAGTCGCGACAGGCGCGAACCGTCTGGGAGTAACAACTTTTTCGCAAGCAGTCCTGAGAGGCCCATTTCCCCCCGTTGAAGGTTGTTCCGACCCCAATGGCGATCAGTTCTTAAATTGACAACAGAATGGACAAAGACCAGGAATGAATCCAAAGTTGCTCATCAATATTGCTGCCAAATTCACCAGCACTTTGACACCTGGAATCCAAGGCTTGACACAAAGTGTCAAACCTTGTCATCAAAAAAAACTGCTTAAAAAACAAAGTTTCCAATTCGCCACAAAGCCGACCACGTTGCAAAAGGTCTGTGACCCGCTCAGTTTGTCCTCGGATCATTTGGCTATCTGGACGAAGTCTCTTGAAACTTGAAACACATGTCAGTGTTTTCGCTGGAAATCTTCAACAAAAACGCTTGCACGCAAAGGTGTTCATGGACCAATGCCATGCCAATTTTCTAAACCACAAATGCTTCATTGCCTGTCACAAGCGTCTTTAACCATTCAGCAAATTGCTCTTCAAGGGGCGGCTTTGTCGCAAGACCCTTGGAACTCCTGGTTTTTCTTCAACCTTCTCCAAAGCGACAAGCCGGCCAGACCTCACGGTAAAACCCTTTGCATAACTTTGCGAAACTTTGAAAACTCCCGAAGCATCTTGGATCTTCAGGGCGCGTATATAACACTTGCATGCTCTTGCGCCGCCTTAGCCTGCATTGTTCTTTGCTGAATGTTTGGAGTTGGCTGTAGCGGTTGGTTTGTTCCTGCGTGGTCCTGGGCACGTCTCACATTGGGGACTCGTTTAGTCAGTGATGACCCATCCCAGGCGTTCGGTGCCAGGTCGCAGAACCATGAAGAAACCGGACATCTCATCACCCTGACGATATAGGCAGCTGCTCCCTTCCACAGTGAGCCAGTCCAAGCAAGCATCCACTCGATGGAGCCAACTGGCGGTGCGACCTGAACACGCTGGCGATGCTCTGAACCCAGTTGTCCTTCTGTGATTTGATTGAAGTCCCATAGCTTCTACACTTGTAGTGGATAGAGGGTGCAATTTGCACAACCCAGGAAGATCTTGGTTTGAAGGAACACACCAAAATGCACCAAACGGTTTCTGCTCCCCACTTCAGCCCTTCCAAATTCCACCTACGATGAGGTGTAGAAGCGTCAGGATGAAGGTCCTGGGACACTCTTCCAGCAGCCGGATGCAGACCTGCCGGATGGGACACTTCAATCCGGTTGCGGCCTGCATGATTAAACAATGAGTTCAGTGAGTTCAACACATTTCTCTGCGTCAACTGGTTATTTTTAGAAGGTGATCAGTTTTCATCTGGAGGGTTCGTTTATTGCAGCTCAAGTGATGTTTGTCAAGTAGAGCCATCAAAAAATACTGTGGTATATATATATATACGTATATATGTACATATTTATAATAATCAGATCAGATTAAATCCACAGCAACTTGGGAAAAGGGCAGAAACCTACGCTGGATACCCACAATGTGCCCCCCATGATCTGCCTCGCGGGAGAGTGCCGCAAAGACGCATTTGGAGATGCAGCGATAGTAAATATACCTCGGGGTAATGCAACATTCAGGCAAGCCGAACATAGTGCGAATTTCTCAAAATAGAACCTCCTCGTGGCAAGCCGAACAATTGGTAGTTGACATGCAGAACATTGCTTATAGACATACAGAGCGGGTCATCGTCATCCCATTTCATTCCGACAGCCAATCCCGAAGTTTCTTCGGTGAGCTTCTGAGGTTATCCTGTTTCCTGTGTTTCCTCCCTTATAATATTGCTGGAAATCAATCGGGGAAATCTTTCGAACTTTGGGTTCTTGAAACTCGCAGATGCTCTGCTGGCTAACAATCAATGTTGTCCAAACTACTGTGCTCATGGACCATCCCTTCTGTGCATCAAAATTGAATTTCTAGTGTGTAAATTGTAAATGAGTTCAAAGGCTACAACCATAGTACAATCCAACTGAAACATGTACCCGCTATACCCCCAACTGAAATCGCTGGGTCCTCCGGCGATGCCTTGTCAGTTAGGATTGACAGCTCACCTCAGAAGCGAAATGGGAAAGATGAGTTGGAAAAGCAGATTTTTTTCGGTATACGATGTGATATTGTGTATGGATTGCATAGGATTGATTAGGATTGTATAGGATTGTATATGTATGCTAAATCTGCTAAATATGAATGTCACACAAAGTCTCAAAGTCAAAAAAAGTGTTCGCAACTTCGTTGACAGCACCGGACTTCCAAGGCACCGATGACATTTCCAGGTGATATCCTGGAGGTCTCTGCTCCGTTTTGCATCTCCACAGCCAAGTCACCTGTACAACTAATGTGGGATTCACCAAATGCCATGTTTACCTTCCCCATAGCAATTTTTATGGGTGAGATTCAAACCATCCCCAAATGGTTTATGGCATTGGGTTTAGGATTAGGATGCTAATCAGCATCCAATCCACCGGTCGTTCTGTGTTGTCGTGTCGTAGTCGCATGTTGTCATATACTAGTACCATCTGTTTACATTCCGGAAATGGCTCAGGATCAAACTTTCCGGGTCAAAAAAAAGGGCACCGTGAGCACCAACAAAGTCTCTGTGGCTCTGCAGCGTACAGCGCCTTTAAGGCAAAACACTTGTCCTATTGGAGAATCTCCAATGCAACTTGCAAGTGTTCAAAGAAAAGATTCGACTTGGAAAATCATATCGACCGAGAACCCATGGCACCTTCCAGAAGAAGCAGCAAATGCTTGGCGCGAGACTGGGGAGGAATGGCAAAGCTGCCGGCTTCAAATTTCAGCATCTCTGCTTTCTCCAGCTCCTGCGGGTTGCCCCATCTTTTTGACATCCTTTACCTGTAGCTAAGGAAACATCATGAATAATGACTCCAAGTCAAGGTTGTCTGGTATTCTCCAATTCAATCTTGGGAGGGACTCTGATGTGGAAGTTTCATGAAGCTTCTAAATTTTCGGAAGCTTCCTGGAATTCTCTGGATCTGTCCTTCTCGCCCTTCTCGCCACAACTTTCCAGTAGTGGCTGGAAAGCCTCTGTGGCAGTACGAATAAGGCGCGGACATTTGTGAATGCTCAAGCAGCTTGCGGAAACACAGCCAGAAATACTATGCATCATGAATTTCAATGAATTTCATGACATTTTTATGATTTGATTCAACAAAAACCGGCTGATGCAAAAAACATGTCGAAGAACTTGAACGAATTGGGGTCCCACGCCTCGGATGGACTCAGATTTCTCAGCTCCTCAAGGGGTGCCTGCAAAGTGTCACGGATTGTCACGGTGCAGGAAATGCAAATTTCAAAATGAGATTGAGCCGGGTTGTAAGTTGACCGGGAGCCATTTAGATTTAATGATTTAATCAGCAATGATCTTCTGTGGCTTCTCTTGAAACTTTGAAGTGCTGATATTTGTTTGGATTCTTTTGGCTTGCCTGGTATGTTGCCATCAAACTGAGCAAGTAAAATTCCCTTCGTGGAATCGTCCATAGAACACGGGCGAAACTCGGAACCTCATTGGCCTTGAAGGTCGACTGCGTCATGAATTCACTCCTGGCAAATGTGAAAAGCACGAGGCATCTACGGAGGGCAGGAAAAGGGTGCCATTTGTAGCAGGAAAACCATGAAGACCTGTGTTTTGCTCAAATGATGGCTACATAGGGGCTATTGAGATCATAATAAGAGAAAGAAAACTTTGTAGACGGTAGACCCTTTACGCTCTTTAAATCCCTTTAACCAAGGCAACGGAAAGGTGCTCAGTGATTTGGTCGTTGGGCCCTGGCTCTCAATCTTCACCTTTTTCTAAAGGCTCGCACAAGTGAGTACAGAAGCGTTTGGAGGATATCACCACAGGCACAGAGGCTGCACGATGCGATGACGTTGCGACAGATCCTCTGCTTGCCGCGGTGGGACATTCTTCTCTCGCAAAGGTGCTGTACAATTGGATGAAATTTGAGGCAATGAGACATATTTTAATAGAACTAGAGCAGGTCATAGTACTATTGCAGGAGCAAACCTCGGCTCCTGCCCTGTGAAATTCGGACTGATGTCAAGCAACAATCAGACCCTGGGCGATAAAAATTGGTAAAAATCAAGGCGAATATGTCAACCATGGCATCAGGTTGAGAACAAGCTGAGACAGGAGGCGATAGGCATGGCACAAAACAGCAAGGGCTCCCCATGGAAGTTGGGAAAGATCGAGTATTCGCCACTTCCGACCACTTGCTCTCAGTGCTTGCTCTCAGTGCCTACCAGTCACTTGCCTCGATTGTGGTGTCAGACGGTGTCAGATCTCGATGAGAGTAAAGTCTCTGCGGCGTTTGGTCGCAACTTTGGTCTCAAGGATGTGCGGAGCTGCTTCAATAGCCTGCAGGAAAATCTGAAGAGAACTGTCTGGCGGCGCACTTGCAAATGAACCGGACGATCGCTCTGATAGACGATCTGGACGATCTGACAGAGTCACCAACTTGATCTCTACATGCTCTGAGCCCAACATCTGCGCTTCGTAGAAGTCAAAGACCAAGACCTCATTGAACTTCACTGTTCTTCTTGGGATTGCCATAGCTTCCGCTTCAACTGCTCTCACAGGCTCAGCGGTCGCTTCTCGACTATCTCGACTCCACGTCAGAAGCTCAGGGCGCTCTGCGGTCGCGACCCAATCTGCAGCAGGAGCTGCCCCAGGATCTTGCGGATTTCCACAACCAGCGATCGAACATCCCATGGCACAGGAGGCAAAACTGTGGGCTGGTGCGGTGCTGAACCAAGCAGAGCTACAACGGCAAGGACACGATGGCGAAGTGTGGCAAGGTGTGGCAAACGTCGAAGAGAAAAAATGAAGCATCGCTTATCCGCAGTTACAAAAAGGATATTGTTTCAATGTTTCACTTCAACTTCTGCCCAAAAAAAACGTTTCGCCCCCTGAACCCCCTGCCTGAGCCCAAAATAGGTAGAAAGTGTGTCGAAGACGACCGTCGAAAAACGAACTGAGAGTCTCTGCACCAAACGCTGCATGGCTTTGGGAAACCTGGACGCAGCTTTGACTTGGCTAGGGTTTCAATGTCGAAAAGAGCTGGAGACTGGAGAACATCCTTTCTTGAATTCAAAAAAATATTTGAAATGGACTTGAAAAATCCTTCTTTACTCCCAACATGCAACATGAGATGTGTAACAGTTTTCCCTGTATTTCACTTCAGAAACCATCCAATCGCTTCAAAATTTTCAAGTCTGCCACTTCACTCTGCATGTTTTCACCTTTTTCCGCCCATCCCTGCCTTTCGAAGGCCTCCTTAAACGCTTTCAGGGGAACTGCCGAAACCAAAGCCCCAGCAGCTCCAGCGCGAGCAGAACTGCTGTGAACACTCCAGGAACTCCCCGTGGAGGCACCGCCAGGGATGCTGGCCAACATGAAGAGCAGTCCTGGGGAAAACGGTGCATATATTTTGACATTAACATAAACTAAATGAATAATGTATAAATGTATAAACGTGTAAATGTGTATATATATATATAATCATATGTAAATGTATGTGTATGTGTATGTGTATATGTCTATGTGTATGTGTATGTGTTTGTGTATGTATATATATATATGTGAGTATACATACATACATACATACATACATGCATGCATACATACATACAGTACATACATACATTACATACATACATACATTACATACACTACATACATTACATACACTACATACATTACATACACTACATACATACACTACATACATTACATACATTACATACATTACATACATTGCATACGTTACATACGTGACATACCATACCATACCATACAATACCATACCATACCATACAATCCAATACAATACAAGACAAGACAATACAATACAATACAGCACAATACAATACATACATACGTACATACATACAAACAATACAATACAATACCATACCATACCATACCATACATACAAACAAAACATCACATAACATAACAATACAAAACATAACAGAACATAACATAACAGAACATAACAAAGCATTACATAACATAACATAACACACCATAACATTACATTACATTGCATTACATTGCATTACATTGCATTACATAACATACTATAGCATTAGATTACATTACATTACATTACATTGCATTACATTGCATTGCATTACACTGCATTGCATTACATTACATTGCAATACATTGCATTGCATTGCATTACATTACATTACATTACATTCCAATACGCTACATTCCATTACGTTACATTACACTACATTACGTTACATTACATAACATTACATTACATTACATCACATCACATACATACATCACATCACATACATACATCACATCACATACATACATCACATCACATACATACATCACATACATCACATACATATGTATGGATACATACCATACATGCCATAAATACATACCATACATACCATGCATACCATACATACCATACATACATTACATTCATTACTTTCATTACATTCATTACATACATGACATACATGACATACATGACATACATGACATACATTACATACATTACATACATTACCTACATTACATACATTGCATACATTACATACACTACATACATTACATACACTACATACACTACATACATTATATACATTAGATACATTACATACATTACATACATTACATACATTGTATACAATACATACATTACATACATTACATACATTACATACATTATATACATTACATACACTACATACATACACTACATACATTACATACATTACATACATTACATACATTACATACGCTACATGCACATGACGTACACATGACGTACACATGACGTACACATGACGTACACATGACGTGTACATGACGTACATGACGTATACAGTACGTACAGTACGTACAGTACGTACATCTATCTATATCTATCTATATCTATCTGTATCTATCTATATCCGTCTAAATCTTATCTATATCTATCTATATCTATCTAAATCTATCTAAATCTATCTATATCTATCTAAGTCTGTCTATATCTATCTATGTCTACACCTATGTATATCTATCCATATCTATCTATATCTATCTATATCTTTATCTATCTATATCTATCTATATCTATCCATATCTATCTATATCTATCTAAATGTATTTCTTTGTTTATTCCCCACATTGACGTGTGGGGGTTTTGTTTTTAGTTCTGTATCTGCTCCTCTTCCTCCTCCTCCCGCCGCCTCGCCTCCCGCCTCACTCACTCACTCACTCACTCACCCACTCACTCACTCACTCATCACTCACTCACTCACTCACTCACCTCACCTCACCTCACCTCACCTCACCTCACCTCATCTCATCTCATCTCATCTCATCTCATCTCATCTCATCTCATCTCATCTCATCTCATCTCATCTCATCACTCACTCACTCACTCACTCACTCACCTCCTCACTCACCTCCTCACATCTCATCTCATCTCATCTCATCTCATCTCATCTCATCTCATCTCATCTCACTCACTCACTCACTCACTCACCTCCTCACTCATCTCATCTCATCTCATCTCATCTCACTCTCATCTCACACTCACTCACTCACTCACTCACTCACTCACTCACTCACTCACTCACTCACTCACTCACTCACCTCCTCACTCATCTCATCTCATCTCATCTCATCTCATCTCACACTCACTCACTCACTCACTCACTCACTCACTCACTTACTCACTCACTCACTCACTCACTGCCAAGGGGTCGGATGTACGCCCTGGCTTGGTCTCCGCCGCTTTTGCGTGGCAGGCGTGGGACAATGTGCACTGCCAAGGGGTCGGATGTACGCCCTGCCGTCCCTCCGGTGTCCCTTGGTCTCCGCCGCTTTTGCGTGGCAGGCGTGGGACAACGTGCCCTGCCAAGGGGTCGGATGTCCGCCCTGGCGTCCCTCCGGTGTCCCTTGGTCTCCGCCGCTTTTGCGTGGCAGGCGTGGGACAACGTGCACTGCCAAGGGGTCGGATGTACGCCCTGGCGTCTCTCCGGTGTCCCTTGGTCTCCGCCGCTTTTGCGTGGCAGGCGTGGGACAATGTGCACTGCCAAGGGGTCGGATGTACGCCCTGGCGTCTCTCCGGTGTCCCTTGGTCTCCGCCGCTTTTGCGTGGCAGGCGTGGGACAATGTGCACTGCCAAGGGGTCGGATGTACGCCCTGGCGTCCCTCGGGGGGCTCCGCCTCTTTTGCGTGGCTTGTGGCCGGGTCGGATGTACGCCAACAGGCGTGGGACAATGTGCACTGCCAAGGGGTCGGATGTACGCCCTGGCGTCCCTCCGGTGTCCTTGGTCTCGCCTCTTTTGCGTGGCAGGCGTGGGACAATGTGCACTGCCAAGGGGTCGGATGTACGCCCTGGCGTCCCTTGGGTGTCCCTCTCGCCGCTTTTGCGTGGCAGGCGTGGGACAATGTGCACTGCCAAGGGGTCGGATGTACGCCCTGGCGTCCCTCCGGTGTCCCTCCGGTGTCCCTGGGTCTCCGCCTCTTTTGCGTGGCAGGCGTGGGACAATGTGCACTGCCAAGGGGTCGGATGTACGCCCTGGCGTCCCTCCGGTGTCCCTCCGGTGTCCCTTGGTCTCCGCCTCTTTTGCGTGGCAGGCGTGGGACAATGTGCACTGCCAAGGGGTCGGATGTACGCCCTGGCGTCCCTCCGGTGTCCCTCCGGTGTCCCTTGGTCTCCGCCGCTTTTGCGTGGCAGGCGTGGGACAAAGTGCACTGCCAAGGGGTCGGATGTACGCCCTGGCGTCCCTCCGGTGTCCCTCCGGTGTCCCTTGGTCTCCGCCGCTTTTGCGTGGCAGGCGTGGGACAATGTGCACTGCCAAGGGGTCGGATGTACGCCCTGGCGTCCCTCCGGTGTCCCTCCGGTGTCCCTTGGTCTCCGCCGCTTTTGCGTGGCAGGCGTGGGACAATGTGCACTGCCAAGGGGTCGGATGTACGCCCTGGCGAGGACCATGCAAGTTTTGCAGGTCTGTGATGCTTCTTTGCATCTGCGTTTTCGTCAGGCCAGGGCCCCGGGCACTGGTGGGGGGGAGAGAGCGATAGGCTGCTGCCACATCTTGTTGCAGTCATGCGATTAGAGTTTATGACCAAAAGATGGGTACAGCCTAGGATAAGAGTCTCAGTGCAAGGTACCGTCAGGACCCAGGACCCTAATCCCAGCAAGATTCTGGAAGGGAGCATCAGGGCAACCCCATTATATGAGATCGTGGTACTGACTTTGTCCCATTATATTTGATATCGTAGCACTGAGTTTGCCCCAGCCCACCGACCTCCGCCTCCTGCCAGGTCCGCCCGTTTATATTTTTTGGGGAGATGGCAAACCACCTTGGTTGGGGGGCCCCAAAGCACACGCCCGTCATTGCATATCGATACACGTTGGTTTCGCGTCGCATCGTTGTCCTTCTTTCTGGTTCGCATGGAAACGGGACTTCGCCACCTTACCCCTCGACACATGCACACACGATACAAGGTATACGTGTCCAGGCTCCTCCTCAGGTCTTATGATTTTAAAAGGAAGTGATGGTGTACCATGGCCTTGCCATCAGCCACGGTACATCTATTGTCACTTCCTCCCAATTGAATCTATGATAACCTTCGGCCTGTAACCCCGGTTCCCCCCGATCTCTTGTTGTGGGCAGATAGGCCTCTCTCTGGACGGACGGACTTTTCTAAGTAAAAGAAAAGCAAAAACTATTTTCTGTTGCTTCTTCAAAGTGATCCCCTTTGAGAAGGTCCATTGACCTTTTTTGGGATTGATCGAGTGGCCTCAAATTGATGGTTGACGAGGTCATTTTGAAGAAGCAAGTAACTAGCTATTTGCTGGAGAAGAACATCACGGCGATCACCAAGGTCATCACAGATGTGTGAAGAAAAGGGTGAGCAAGGAGAACAACAGCTACCTTGCTGTTTTGAAGCCAGGAGAAACACCTCGCCACTGCCCAGGCGAAACAGATGGACGCGTTACAGTGGCTGGCGGTGGTGTCATGTGGTTCCCACCTATCAGCAGACAAACTCAACATGTACACACACGAGACGTGTGACTGGCTATCTGCCTGCGAGGGTATCCACCTCCGTCCAAAACGCGACGGACGACCAGGTTGTCCTCGTGCGCGCTTTGGTTCAGCTGCTGCAAGCAGTAATCGCGTCAAGCTGTTGCAGGACAATCTCGGGACTGACAAAAGTTTTAGTTAGGCTCGCCATGACATTACACACTTGGTCACGTATTGTGATGCGGTGCATATCGTCGAATCATTGTCTCACAGCTATGGAATATTTCGATTTGACAACCTTAGCGATTTGCTTACACTGTTCAAATATATATATATATATATTTCAAATATATATATTATATATGTAACTATTGCCCGTTCCTATTACAATATTCTCAGGGGCTAGCGGCTAGGATGGTTCCCCCACCTTGGCGGGGGGCAGGTCGGTTCGTCGCCTGACTCAGCACCTCCGTGAGCAACTACTCCAAGGCAGGCTCTTGCCTCTGGGCTGCAGCTCCAGTTCCGGGAGTTTTGACGATGAGTTTTTTTTTAAAGAAATTGGACGAACCGATGTGAACTGATGTTTGTTCCGCAGCAGTCAGTCGGAGACATCATCATCATCATCATCATGATCATGATCATGATCATCATCATCATCATCATGTGCCAGCGATGTTTACCAGCCACAGGGCATGCAGAAAGAATTCACAAAATGTGCGGCTGCGCTCGAAAGAGTGCAGAACATTACTTTGGTCAGCGAAAGTATGGTGAGCACACCATCGTTTTGATAAGGAGCCAAAGCCTGGTTCGGTCAACAGCAGAGAAACACAACACAAGCGCCAGAATGCATAACGCAAGCGCCTTAGGAGCCAAGGTCTTGGGTTGCGAGGTGCTGGCCTGAGGCACACCATCGTTTTGATAAGGAGCCAAAGCCTGGTTCGGTCAACAGCAGAGAAACACAACACAAGCGCCAGAATGCATAACGCAAGCGCCTTAGGAGCCAAGGTCTTGGGTTGCGAGGTGCTGGCCTGAGGTTGTTTTGAATGTGTGTTAAACATAATATGGTGTTCAATATGTCAGGCACACCAACAGTTTGTTCCCCACACACACACACAAACTCACCTACCTACATACATACCTACATACATACCACCATCGTCCCTCCATCACTCTCATACTTCCTCTTCCCTTCTCGCTTTCTCTGCTCAGTCTAAGTCTAAAGAAGTTGGTAACATGTGGGGTTATCCGGTCCTTTAATCTCTGTATCAATCTCTCAATCTCTCTATCTGTCTATCTGTCCACCTGTCCATCTGTCCATCTGTCCATCTGTCCACCTCTCTCTCTCTCTCTGTCTACCTATCTACCTATCTACCTATCTACCTAGCTACATATCGACCTATCGGCCTTTCTACCTATCTACCTATCTCTATCTATCTCTGCCTCTGTCTATCTCTATCTATCTCTATCTACCTCTATCCGTCTCTATCTGAATCTCTCTCTCTATCTCTCTATCTATCTCTCTATCTATCTCTCTATCTCTCTATCTATCTCTCTATCTATCTCTCTATCTCTCTATCTCTCTATCTCTCTATCTCTATATCTCTCTATCTGTCTATCTGTCCATCTGTCCATCTGTCCATCTGTCCATCTGTCCATCTCTCCATCTCTCCATCTGTCCATCTCTCTCTATCTCTCTCTCTCTCTCTCTCTGTCTCTCTCTCTCTCCATCTATCTATCTATCGATCGATCGATCGATCTATCTATCTATCTATCTATCTACCTATCTCCATCTATCTCTGTCTCCATCTATCTCTGCCTCTTTCTATCTCTATCTATCTCTATCAATCTCTATCGATCTCTATCTAGCTCTATCATGCTCTATCTATCTATATTTACCTCTATCTATATCTGATATCTATCTATAGCTAGCTATATCTATCTATATCTGACCTCTATCTATATCTGATATCTATCTATATCTACTGTATCTATCTATATCTATCTATATCAATCTATATCTATCTATACCTGTCCATATCTATATCTATCTATATAGACCTAGCAGTATTTATCTATGTCTATCTATGTTTTTTCTATATCTATCTAGAGCTATCTCTATCTGTCTATATCGATCTATAATCATCTAGACCTATTTTTATCTATCTATCGATCTATCGAATAATCAATCTATCAATCTATCAGTCCATCGATCCATCTATCTATCTATCTATCTATCCATCCATGTATCTATCTATATGTATACATATACATATACATAAACACATACATATACATAGATACGTATAAGTAGATATATTTATATATATATATGTGTGTGTGTATCATGCAAGAAGCAGCTTGAATATGCTCTTCTCCATGGGTACTGGTCGATTTCGCTCTGTGAGTCTCTCTCTCCCTCTCTCGCTCTTTGTTCCGTAGCACTTTCACTTGTTAACGCCAGGCCCTGCAACGAAACAAGCACGTTGTTCTGGCTCTATGTAAATGTTGCTTCTCTAATTGGAGGAAGGCAAATGCAGTCTCTGGACGTTTCTGTTTACCCGAAACCCTCCACACCCTGAAATCCAAATCATGCACCAAACAAACTCCGAGAATTAATTAGCCCAAGGCTCCCACAATGGCATTCCCAGGTCCAACGCTATAGACATCAGCAGAGCGACAGCCATGTTCAACCACGACCTTTGTTTCCAGTGTGTGTGTGTGCTCCAGTGATGAATAAAGGTTGTTTCCTTATGGTAGTGAAGAACCCCTACATAAGAAATTGTTGTTTGTGGAAACCACCAAGTATTTACCATGGATTCTGATACAGTTACTGATACTGTCCACGTTACTGTGTGATGCGATGGAAGCCGTTTCTGTTTGACACAAGCCCGCACAACGCCTCACCCTGCTTGACCACGAGAAATGCTGATCTAGCACTGCCCTGCTGGAAAACCAGTTCATCAGGCTGGTATTCTATGTCCTGGTTTCGCAGCACACAGAAAGGGCTGGAAAAGTACTGAAGTGTTGTGACTGCGCAACTGGTTGCCAAAGGGAATGCTGATTTGCTTCCTCCAAGATCATCTAAAATCGGTTCAATGAGTCAGCGCAAGCAAGTTGTTTTCTGGGCGCCAGATTGATATCAAGGATTGTCGGTACATGCCGGTATTCAGTGTCATTGATGCAATTGATCACAAGGCATCTTTTCACGAGGACACGCGACTGTGGCAACTAGGACACAATTCCAACAGAAGTACCAATACCGTCCAATACCAGAATGCCCACCCCGCTTCCGACCATTGCATCTCTCCCTTCCAACTTCTGCCTCGACTTGTTGCTCCAGAAACTGCAAGCACTCATCAGACTTTGCAAAGCTACCACCACTATGGCCACCCATAAAGAAGCGGCAGCCCTTTGTACCTCAGAGGATACGCAAGTTGACGAACCACAAAGATCATCAAAATAAAAACCACCTAGGTTTTATAATCCAACCAACTTTGTCCAGGTCGATCATGATCTGCTGATTGAGACGGAGCACGTTCCTCTTGCAGCACGGACAGCATTGAAGGTGACGCGTCAGGCAACCGCTGTGCCTCATACCTAACATCGGGACTCTGCTCCTCAGCACGTTCAATTTCCTCCCAACGAGCCTTGCAGTCCGCACAAAATTGGAGTGGACGCATGAAACAGAACAGTAGACAGCATTGTAAACAGCATTGTAAACAGCATGGTGATCATGGCACATGGAATGCTTGACTTCTTCAGAACTTCATGCGGCACCTCATCCATGTCCGACTCACCCTCACCGGATGAATGGCCTCCCATGGAGACCTGAACACACGGAACTTGGATCTGCTGGAAAGGGCAGTGTTGGAATGCAATTTCCCTGACTAATAGACCCTTGTTCGGAAATAAGGGGTTCTGGCCTAAAAAGTGATGAACACGGATGATCAACGAAGAGTAATGGGTAATGATGAGCTGGACATGGAAACCAAACTAGTGAAGAACCCAAACGATCCCAAAGGATCCCAAAAGATCTCACGGAGCTAAGATTGCAATGTGTCTTACTTTGATCGGAGGTTAGCAACACTCCTATCTTACGTGAGCCAAAACACAGTAAATACACCTCATGGATTATGAGGGTAGGTGTCCCGAATCACCCCTCCTGGACATTGGGTGATTTAGGCCATTGTCCACTTTGGGACACTCACACAGCAGCATTTGCTATTGATGAACGTCCTTGGACTTCTTCAAAACCCATTGCCCTCAGATGTCGTTCTGCAGCTTCGCTCGCCAAAGCTTTGGTACAGATGTCGGCGGCGTTCAGCTTGGTGTCAATCTTGATCAGTTCGAATGATCGCTCGGCCAACTTCTCCTGGATCCATAGGAATCGGGTCTGTATGTGTCTCGACTTCCCAAGTCCAAGCCGATTCCACGTGCCAAGTGCTGCAGCTGAGTCAGTGTACACCTGGAGATTCACTTTGATGCCAGCTCCTGGGTTGCCATTCCTGAAGCCACTGCCTTTACCAAGGCATAGTACTCGCTTTCTCCTGATGAGAGACTGACTGCGGGCTGTAGGTTGCTCGAGTGATGTAGGGCGTGACGCCCATAGTAGCATATACCTATGGTACTCTTCCGAGTGAGAAGACCGCCTGCAAAGTCCGAATATGCATGTGCTGACACAACGTTGCTGAACTTCTGGGGTGTGAACTTCTGCACCATTCGCATAGTGCCCTTCTGCTACCTAGCTAGATGCTTCAGGTCAGCGAAACCAGCTTCAGTAGGTCCTTGCATCTTGTGCGCGAGGCACTTGACTGTCTCTGACAAATCGGGACGGTCTTGGGCTAAGAACGCTGTTCGCATGGTGAGCAAGCGGATCCTGTGCGGATCAACCACATCCAGTTCCAACCTTTTGACTAGCGCTTCTGCAGTTAGCTTCTCGTTTGGGCTTTTCACTGGCTTGCACGTCTCCATACCTAGATCGTTCAGCAAGATCTCGGCGTGACGTGGTTCAGGCTCAAAGAAGATTGTTCCAGACCTCTCCTCGAAACGAACGAGACGGTTCAGGACACAAAATTCTTGCTTTGCCTCTCCAACGCCAATGCTTCCATCGACACGAAGATTGTACTTTTCTCTCGATGCTTTCTATACATACTCTTGCATCGGCAAGCACGCACTCAAGTTCTCAGGTGCTTCTTACCTTCTTGAAGTCTATTTGACCTAATTGACGCGGGGACTTGATTCCTTGCGTCAAACAGGTTCTGAAGTTGTGAAAATGGTCCACATGGCGGTGAACCACCTAAAAGCTTGGGTTTCTCTTTGTCCAAAACTGTAAAAAGTCTTCGATGTAAGAGTCTTTGCTAAGATCTCAGTGATCTCCGTCCTTTTTCTCTTGGTCTCAAGATCGATTGCTAATCATGGTCGCCAACCGACCAACTGAGCTTGTGCTGAAACTCTTGGCGGTGAGAAGATCTCGGAAACAGTCTTCTGCACCGTACCTCTTTTGCGGGCTTCCCTAAAAACCGAACACAGATACGAGGACAGATGTCCTATGTCTACCATATCGGTTCCTCCAGATGAGGCATCCGGAGATCCGACCAGCGACATGTGTGGTCGAGGGCCTCTGCTCCCGGCAGCCGGAAGCGGTCCTGACTCAACCACTGCTCCCCCGTCACCTACAGCTGCACCTGTTGCAGCTTCATCCTGCATCTGCTGATGCAACTCCTCAACGTCTGCTTCTGAACTTCTCTTTGTCTGACTGGTGCCGGACTTGTGCTTCTTTGGGCTTCTTGGCTCATCTTCTCGTTCCTCAAGTTCGCGGGGTGCGACTCCTTCCAATGGTTCTCCAACAGCTTCTCCTGAGGCCATTTCGGCATCAGGCTCTGGAACGCCTACCAATGCAGGAGTGTTGGCAGCTTCCACATGCCCATCCTCCGGCTCTAGGAGCCTTGGGGCGGCACCCTGATTCGATTCTTGCCTTTGCTGCCTAAATCCTTGTCTTTCCTTCTTCGGACTTCATGAGCTCACTTTCAAGTCGAAACCTGCACGCAGCGTTGTGGGCCCTGCCCCCCGTCTCGAGCAACTGCGCCTCACATCCCGGACATAATGGGGTCCGGCCGTACGTACTTCTTGATGTCGCTCTTCGTCACATAAAGATTCCGTGGAATCACTTCTTCTGCGGGTGGTCGAGTCATTGGCTCGACAACCACTGGCAAGTCAACCCGAACCTCGCCAGCCTCCCGAGATTGGAGTCTCCAAGGAACATCCCGGAGTTCACTCCAGTTGTGGTACTTGATCTGGTCTTCAGGAGGCCTTCGAGTGATTGAATTCCCTTTGACAATTCCTCTTGCCGTCATGACGAAGATGTCGTGGTTGCGCAGCCCTGTGCTCACGAACATTCCTGTAGAAACTCTTGGTGCAAGATCATCTCTCGGTGGTCTTGGCCTGAACAAAAGGTGTTCGCCGAAACTCACCAGCGGGATTCTCCAGCTCCTTCCGAAGGTCCGTTCACATCCGGTCCAATCCGGGACCTGGTGAGAAGATAGGCTGCGCGGCGTGGCAGCCACATCATACACGGGTGACTTGGTTCCACCTCGAACCCAAGCCTTTCCTGAAAGCCAGACAACATCGCCCTGACTTCTCTCTTCACTTCTCTTACTGCGACCTCAATGAAGCCGTTCGCCTGGTGATCCCCCACCGGCGCCTCAGCGAGATGAATCTTCAACCTATTTCCTCCTTCACCGTATGCTTCAAAGCGATGATCGCCGACTCGTTGTCGCTCTTCAGACATAGTTCTTTGAAACCTGTTTCGTTGAGGCAGGATTTCAACCAGTCAACTGCAAACAGCTCCGCACCCTTTGAAGGAACTACGTTTGCCCAATAGCGGCCTGGCTTGTGACACTTGACAACCAAGCATGGCAAAATAACCTCGGCATCACTCTTTTCTTACCCTGAATTAGGGTAAAAGTAATCTAGTGAAACGCACGGCATCCTACCATCCTCATCCCGAGCTGGGTCACCGCGTCTGTGGCGTTGGCCCGTTACCCGAGCCCTTTGGCAGTGAAGACACCAGTGAACCACGTGCCCAGCAGCACGATGTTCCTGTATTTCACGATCGGTATAATCCACGGGGATTTCTTTACGATCGCTTGTCTCTGCTCTTCTCCAACTTCCTCCGAAAATTCATAGCCGTCTTCTGCGACTTCGTCGCTACCGAGGTCTCCGGCTGAAGCAGCCGGAGCGCCGGCGTCGGGCGCATGGGTTGCGCCACATCACTACATGGCACTGGGAGCGCATGGAGGCCAGCTGATCCCCAAGAACTCACAAGCTGGTCAGGAGTACGCAGCATTCATGGAGAAGCTGTACAAGAAGTATGAGTACATGACACCTGTCAAGGTCCGCAATGGGATCTAACTATCTGATGGACTTCTGGATTGCACCTGGGACGTCGGAAGGCTCTTTTCAGGGGCCTCCCGAACGGGTGTAAGTCCGGAGTTGCAGCCGATGGATGATGAGAAAGTGCGATGGACTCTGGTCACGCGTCCTTCCAACACCTTGGCACATCCATAGGCATCAGTGCCTTTAAGCACAACACCACCTTCATCAGCTAGGCTAGCTGACATCGTGTGGAGGCGACCTGGGGTATCCGTGCAGGTTCAGATCTGCGGGGATGGCCGCGGTGGCGGCGCCAGTGCCCAAGTTCACCTCGATCTTCCTCCAGCCGTCGCGCTCTTCAACCACATGTGGCTCTCCAGGTGAATCACTCAGAGAAGGGAAGACCGCACTGAGATCTTTGCCAACACTACAATCTTCATCAGTGCTTTCTGGATCCCATTCATGGCGCCTGTCCCGGCGCTACTTCTTTCTCGGCATTCTTCCGGCGGTAGTATACTAGTCAGATCCTCTGACCCTTGGCCCTTGTTCTTTCTTTTGTGTGGGCCTCTCCAAAACCTCCTCTTCATCCTTGGGAAACTGCCGGAAGGATTCCTTCTCCCGGCGGCTCATAGGTTCGGCTTCCTTCTGAGGCTCCAAAGGCTTGCCTTAAGTCTCGTCGGCGATCGTCGATGATCTCGGTCTCCAATTCGGCTTCGAGACCTTCCACATCATGTCTCTTGGAACCTGTCTTGAACGGCTCGTGTTTCTTGTGCCATTCCCCGTCCAGGTGAGTGCGTTCCCTGGCACGGTCGGCCACGCCCCTTTTGCGTTTCAGGATGGCCCGACGGCGGCCCTTCTCGTTCTTCCACGCAAGGTGATGCGCCTCGCCGCCACTTCTGCATAGTACCTAGAGTCGTGGAACGACTGGTCGTGCAAGTTGTCCTCGGATTGCCACTGATCTCCTTGGTGCACGCTGTTGCAACTCCGCCTTCTGCCGTTCGAGCTCCTTCTTCAACTCCGGATCATCCGTCTTCTGGGCATCGAACATCAGCTGGCTGGCCAGTGTGCCACGAAGCACCGTAGGCTTTGGCATTGCCTTGACCGCTGGCGTCTCCTCTTCCTAGAAGTGTTCTTGGTCGTCGGCTCCTTGGGCTTCTTCTTCTTCTTCTTCTTCTCGGTGTCAGACCATTCCTCCAGCTTGATCTCGGTCTTCTCAGACTTTGCCTCGGCCTTCTTGCGCTTGGATGGAGGTGGCCCAGGAGGGCTTCTGGGAACCCTCAAGTCAGGCGGGAGTGAGCCTCCAGCTGGATCAGCAGGAGAGGGTTTTGACTTGTCTCCTGGCTAGGGCCTTTCCCTTCATGTAGTCGCCGACACTACCCCCTGGGAGTTTGACTCGAAGGCGCCCTCTCACTGGCAGTTGGCGTCTCACTCTTGCGCTTTGGGGCAGTCTTGGGGGTAGCTGTCTTGTCCACCAGCTCTCGCTTGTCGGTCGTCTCGACCTGGAGTCTTCACGACGTTCATGTCGCCTGCGCCTCGACCGATCACGGGACCTCTATTCTGGCTCTGGCTCCTTCTTGGGCGATGGTCTGTCGGTCATCCTGGGCCCTCGCATTACGAAGCCGGTAGTTCTCGTCGATCAGCATCATCATCACGTCGACCCGGCAATCTCCGGACGAACCAGTTCCAGAGTCTCGCAACCCGGCATCTGCACCGCGAGGGGGATGCCTATATTGCTGCAATCACACTCTTACTAGAGAGTCCCGAGCGAGTCTCGATCGCCCTCTGGACCCGTGCAACGCGCCTAGAGAAAGGTACCCTCCAGGCGTGAGCCCTGACCGCCTTCAGTCCAGTTGTTCCAACCGGAGTCATCATGACCTTCCCATCCACTGGCATCCCAGGACCCGGCCTGCTCCTCAGCTTCTGGCTCCTTCTCAGCCTCGACATTGCCCATGGCTTTTCTTTTACTTTTGCCGCTCTTTCCTTTGCCTTTGTCTTTGCCTTTGGTGGCCTTTCCACCTCCTTTGCTTTCCTCCTTTCGATCCCTTTGGGGATCCCTTCTTTCCACCTGAGTTAGACTGCTGACCGCCTTTCTGCCCTTTTCCTTGCTTGCCGGACTTTCCCTGCGAAGAAGCTTTTCCTCCACCTGGTGCCCAGCAATCATACCTCAAATGACCTGGCTTCTCACAGTTGCGACAAACCTTCTTGGACTTGTCATTCCCAAAGGCTCCAATGTCCATTGGTTGGACTCCTCCGGTATCGACATAAGAACTGCCTTGCAATATGGGTTTCCAGATAGGTTGACAGGTCTTTGCGCACTTCCTGGTAGTCTGCAAACCTAGCCTGGTTGAGCTGAAGGTGTCTCTCAACTTCAACCGAGCAGATGGATGCCAAGATGGAGATCTTGATGTCCGCGTCAAGAGTTGGCCTAGACCCATCGGCTTTGCGCCGATTCTCGTACTGACGCGCACTGCAATGCTCCTCAACTTTACTGCATCGGCTGGGACTGAGCACACTACGGAGTAATGCTCTGCGGCGTCCTCCAGTCGAAGGATCGTACCGCTTGCGCAACCTTCTCCAAGCTTCCAATCCTTTTCCTTTGCCTGAGCTTCGAACCAGCGTGAATGCTTCCTTCTCGCAAAACGTCTGAAGGACTGCATAGAGTTGCGCATCCTTGGCTTCCAAGTCCGGGCCGGTCTCCTGAGCAGGATTGACGGCTCCAAACTCGGCTGTCATTGAAGAGGTGCTGATTGGGTGGGCTTCATCTCTCGCCCATACCATGGCCTTCTCAAAGTCATCGTGGACTGACTCGACAAAAGCCTCAAGTCGGATCTTCCACTGCAAGAAGTCGGCACTACCATCATAATTGTTTGGTTTTGCCAAACCGCGATTTTCAACTAAGGTCAGTTTCCTATCAGGCTTCTTGGACGCTTCCAAGATGGCCTTCTGCATGTTCACCAACTCTTCCAAAACAGTCCGTGCAGCCTGCACTGCCTGGAGTCTTGTATTCAGGTCATCCCCTCTCTCCTGCAGCTCTCCTGCAGCTCCTGCCGCAGCGTCTGAATCTGCGCCACAATCTCTTCCGTGGTCGCCATCACTGCTCCTCAGGCTCCGCTGGTGCTGCTCCCGGCCGAACCAGCCGAGAGTCAAGCAAGCGGCGCCTGAACTCCTGGGACTGTACCAGCCCCTGCAAGTGCTGTCCCAAGTTGCCGAAGATCCTTTGCAACCTGCGGATCCTGAAGAGTCTGTTGAACAACCTGTACCACAGCCTTACGACTCTATCAGCAAGTTGGTTCCCGGTCTGTCCCCAAAGTTATTGCATTTACTGGAGCTTAACCAAGCGCTCCGCTACCATGATCGGAGATTAGCAGCACTCCTATTTTACTTGTGCCAAAACACAGTAGATACACCTCATGGATTATGAGGGTACGTGTCCCGAATCATACTTTGATCATCTTTAATCATCTTTGATCATCTTTGATCCTTTCCCAGCCGTTCTCAGTGCATGAAATCCTTGGCGCATGGCGTGCCTCGGACAGAGCTCGGCGACCAGCACTCTGCAAACGACCAGAACGGGA